GTGTAGTTTTACAGTAAGGAGCAGTGAGTGAGCTTCAAGGAGGGAAATGCCGAAATCGCAGGTCTCAAAAAGCTAAAAATGGCGGACAAACACGTTTGACAAAACCCCCTGATTTTATTTAGTATCCCAGTGTCGGAGACCAGCTTATTAGAAAATAGGGCAGTCTTCGATAAAGAACAATGGGACGAAAAATGTGCAGTGCTGGGAAAGTGAATCACTTAGCTCGGATATGCCGCCTGTATAAGGGCCAAACATATCAAAAAGTACGCCCTCCCCACTGAGAATAACTTTGGATTCAGAGCATGCTACAGAAGACATTTTACAGACATCAGGGAGACCATCAGTTTAGCAATCTTCTCAAGTCCGGGTGAGGTTGTAAGAAATGTTACAGGAAGATCAGCAAACACCCAGGAACTGACCCCCGTGGTGGTTCACGGAGCGCCCGATCTATTAGGTGGTAGTCGGGGTGAAGCTCCATAACACGATGCGCAACAGTGACGCTAGCTGTCATGTAGAATGGACCTTTACACTAACAATTTGTGTCTGGACTATATCCTCAGTCACATTACACGAACAATAAGTCTCCGCGTCTGATGGCTGTGAACTTCAGGAACCGAGAGTACTTGGCCAGTTACAGCTCGAAAGTCAACCAACCACATCACACGTGAAAGCCGACCTAGATCAATAAGGTAACCTTGGCGTTGCTTGACCTTGATCAGCAACCCACGGCACAGAGCACACAGAACCCTGCCTCTATAATGGGATACGCTATATAGGCAGAAACATGCGGCGGGAAGTTCTCATGAAACCGACCAACATGCTTCAGGCAACAATCTGCTTAACACTTGGGGGAAAGATGCTGCTGTAGAGAAGCTAGGCCATGCCACGAGGTGGGAGATGAATGGAAAACCCTTAAACTTAGATTATTCACTGACAAATGATCAGTCCGTAGTTGAGTGTGTCCATATTCGAACACCAAGAGGAAGTGATGACCATGGAAGAGTTATGTTTCAAGAGATCATAAACGAGGTACTTGGGAAGGATGAGGATTCATTCCCATTTTAGCCATACGAAGGCAGACTGTACGATCATGAGGAAAAATCTCCAAAACACTTCATATTAACGAGAACGATGTATGCCAAACAGTAGATGTTCGGTGGGAGGTTTTGAGGAATAACACTTGGAATACGGTCCAACACAGTGTACCTCAGGGTCAGCACACATCTAGACAGCGAAGATCCTGGCTCAGGCGAGTCATGAAACGCTAGCTACAACCCACACAGAGAGCCCGGCGCAAGCGGGACGTTTACATAAAGGGTTCGGATCGTAGCTTGAACTAAGCATTGAGAAACAGATGCTACGCCTAAATCCGTAGCTATAGATAATGTCAAGCTAGCAACCAGAATGAAAACTAACTTCAAGTAACTCCACAGATTCTTAACCATGGGATCTGTACTCTTGAAGGGTTTCACTAGCCTAAAGATATCGGAGATTTTTAATGCCAACTTCATAAGCCAACTTAGTCAGGAGCCTGAAAACGCGGAACAGCTCTCAGCTTTGGTGCCTGTTGAGGGTCTGATAGATATCCAACTAACTCTCGGGTTGGTATTGAAGAGACTGAAGTCCCTGTCCCCAGGAAAGTCACTAGGATGTGAAAGCATTCGACTTATAATGCTGAAGCTGAGCATAAACCATCAGCACACAAGTGTTTGGCCTGTTCAGGCACTCACCAGATTCACGCCAACTCCCAACTCTTCAAAAGGGTTGATCGGAAAGACCTATTCTGTTAGAGACCAGTCTCATGGCATGAACATTCTGCCTCGTTTAACACAAAGCAATTACACTCTTCATAGAAATCCGATTTGACTGCTTCCTCAGTGCGTGGTCTTGGGCTAGTACTTGCACACCAGCTCAAACTATAAAGAGGATGCAACCACGGCAAACATAACTTTCCACTTTATGAGAATACAGCTTAGCACAATTGCCACGAAGTTTTTTCTAAAACTCTTCAAAATGTTCTCACGGCCCCACCTCCAAGTCAACCTCTCTTCTTCCAAAAGAGATGCAAATCTCTTATGACGAGTAGAGAGACGGGCAAACAAGTTGGTGAAAGCCTCAAACATAAATATTACGAATGCAGATTCAAAAGCCTAGATTATTTCCATCGAGCTGGTGGAGGAAGAGAGGCGATCTGATAGTGGTATAAAATATATTAGGTACGCTAAGCGACCCTAACACAAGCATATTACCAGAACATCGCTACGCTTCCCAAGGCAACCCTAGAAAGATCGCACACAAAGATCGAACGCCCAGATACACTCCCATATTTTCTCACTGGAAGTTGCCTTCAGTTTAAATGCTGTCCCAGCAGACGTGACCACAGCCCCATCAAAGCATAGCTTTAAGAGTAGACCTGAAAAACATGTACCTACCCATGGATTACACCTACCTTCTTGTACCAAGTGTGTCTGATGCATGTCTCATAAGTTGCCACGGCTATCATTACTGCATACCAGTGACTACTCCCTACGTCTCTTATCGTCGACTTCCTTTTCCCTCTAATTCCTCCAATCCGTCTTCTTACATATTGCCAATCAATTATTTGTTATTCTTGGAACAATCTTCTTCCCCTAGCACTCGAATTATCACTTCATTATTTTCACATTGTAAACAGAAAAAATCTCCTGCCTAGTAATGCGATAGCTGCTGATGTTCAGAAATTATGCCGTCCTGTAACAAATGCACTCGCTCATCTACAAGATATATAAATCTACAAACAGCTACCATATTGATTGAAATTAGTGCATTCAAGTGGCTAGACTATCACAAGTTGGACATTATCAGATACCTAGAACCGCACCGCAATAATAAGAGAGTGCTGAATAATCAGTCGGCCTAAACATGATCGTGACAAAGATATTAGGGATGACGGAGATATTGGTGGTGCCCGCTCTTTGATGTGGAGTACTTAGCATTTTGTACACAACTATCGAACCTAAGAAAAACTGCCTTGTTTATGCTAGGATATATATATATATATTTATACGAGGACAGTGGACATTGAATGTGTCCTTGAAACAGTTGCTAGGTTATTGCATCCACATGTCAAAATGTTACTTTTCGTTTTTGTGCCACATCGTAAGGTGATCGGGAACTATCTAACGGATGGACGAGCCTCTAGAAATTGTACTCCTGAATCACTCATCAAGACCTGATTACGTTTAAGCAACACGTCTGTTGACTGTATTTATAGTCGTCTTATATTATAATCGCTTAGAGAGAAAAGACTTTTAAACTAACTAGCTAACGAATTCGTTAACTAGTTATTTAGAAGCAACATTTAGATATTGTTGCAATCTTTTGTGTTCTGTAAATTTCAGAATTCACAAGAAGATTATTTTGATTCCCAATAGTCAAACATGCTTTACGAAAAGGAATAACCAGTGGGATATTTTTCATGTCCAATCTCGTTTTCAATAAACATTTTTTAAACGTGAGCTTACTTTCTAACTGATCAAGTATTGAGAAAGCCTGTTTGGCAGATCTGCCAACTACTCATAATGTTGTACAATATGACGTCTTTTCTTGTCAATAAATTTCTTTAAACATGTACCATTTTTAACGTTGATTTCAGTTGCCATGTAGTGTGTTATGGAAATAACGGCGAACACAGGAGGCGTTTGGGGTTATGCCCAAAGTGTGTTAAAAGTTGAAGCAAAATAGATAAATCAGCGCTTATTGAAGCAAAAAGTAGACAATTCAGCTACATTTAAAACACAGAGCGACACAAAGAAGAAAATCAGCATTATTTCCCACAGACAGGCGAAAAATCACACATTTTAGCGCGTTTTTCCATTATTTTCTGTTCGCCTTTATTTCCCATTTATTGGTTGCTTGAGTTGTCTTTGAATACATATATAGGTTTATATATACACTTTCCTTCCGATACTTTATTGTTTGTAGAAAATACACTAGTTCATTGATTAAAAATACTTTTAGCCCCCTTAGTTTACTCTAGTTTTCCTGCAATGGCTTTCAACTTTTGTTTTAGTCCGGCTTTTTAGCATTTACATAGTAGTTCAAAATAACATGCAGCCTTTGTCTCTTCGAGATAATATAGTGGAATAATTTACTGTCGTTTTTCGTGTTGTGATAAACTAAACGCTCATCCCTTATCTACGCATACCTCATACTTAGTTCAGTGATGAAAGATATTTATGTATTCCTCAACCTACATAACAGTAAAAGTAGTAACGTAGTCCCTTTAATATCAAAAGAAATGTGTAGATCAAGTTTCAACGCATGCTTACAAAGTAAAAGGGTAGCTAGAGGTAATCACTTCTAAAACCTTTACTTACTAGTTGAAATGACGACCTTCGTACTGTAATAAAGTTTATTAGTATGTATTTGTTACTTAAAACTGACGTTTTGAATGGATTTTTTAATAAAGGAGTGAACCTTGGGTGCCCTAGAGGTCTTCCATTGAAAATTGCCGGAAAACTAAACGAGGTTCTGTTAATGATCACTAGTTTGAATTACCATTTTTGTTAGGACGTAGATAGAAGTACTTTCAAATCGTTATTCTAAAGTTTGTGATGTAACGTGGAAAACGTTGCTCAACTTTGTCCGCAAGCATTAACATGTTGTTAAACGATTAAGTGGAAACTAATGACCATTGGTATCAATTATCGAATTAATTCAAAAAATATTCTTTACCTAAATATTTATTTAACAGTAAATTACGAACAAACTATATCTTCTTTAGTGTACAAACTGGTTTTACTGAAGTTTCATTCCTTGATCAGTCAGTAATCAGTCAGTAACAACGTAGAACTTCGTACGTACGTACATCAGTTCCTTGATAACATCTGTTTAGCGATTTTCAGATACCTAGAGGATAAAGCTGCACAAACGACTGTCAAACTCCTGGCTGATTTTGTTTGAAAGCCAACTTCTTCGTTCTTTTCAACAGTCTCTCAAAACATTTTTTAGTTCATAAGATGAGTACAAAAACAATCCATTCCGATGAGGTAAATTTTAAACTTTCAAGTTTTTTGAAAGTAAAACATACTATAAATAGGGTAGTTAATCATTATAAATATATTTAGTTATCTCAGCACCGGTAAAATCGAGTTTATACTGAGAATATATGTGTAGAGTTTCCTAACTTAGTCATGTTTTATTTGAAATTTGTGTTGTACGCTGAAACATTTCTGTCTTAATAGTTTTTATAGAAGCAATCTTACATGAATAAACGTCATTAATGTTGCCTAAAAAATGAAATGTATTTTACTAATATATATATATATATATATATATATATATATATATATATATATATATATATAATTTGCTGCATCTCAGTGAGTAGAAAATGGTATTATTGACGTTTCTTGACTCAGTGTAAGCCACTTTTTCAGAGTAAATGAATAACCAAAATAAAATTAACGCAAGTCCAAATAGCTTGAATAGTACTCTGAACAAGTGCATTACATTAAGCCACAAAACATCAAAAATACAGTTTTCTACTCGTTAGGCTATAAAAAATGTTTATCATCAACTTTCTACCCAATACCCAATTTATTTGAAACTATCGAGTCAAACCTTGGCATTTTTACGTACATTTTACTTGGGAGACAGATATGATTTTAAAATGTAATAGACAGAATGATAAAGTACTTCCAATATCTAAGGATCTGACCGCTAGCACAGGATAGTCCAACCTTCTGTTTTAGTTATGTAGTTTTTATTCTTAGTCGGAAATATATTTTTGTTATTTTTATAACACCATAAAAACACTAAGTTGTTCTTCAAAGAACAGCTTGAAATTGCGAAGGATGTTTCGTCACCTAATGCCTCTTAGTATGTGCTTGTGTATTATGTACTCAACTTTATAGTTTAGCTCAAATAGTGCAGTATCTTACATTTAAGAAACTAATGTTTCTGTTCTCACATCAATCCTTCTGTTGTATTCAAACCTGTCTAGCAAATAATTACTATCTAATTTCAAATTTACTAAAATTCAGGTCGGAAATTTATCATTTTGTCACAATGATGAAACGTTTTTATCCAGCTTTATCAATCCTAAAAACAATTGAGTGTAACTCCAGTTGCTGCGTGACAGTGAAAAGTTATGGACAAAGATTTGATAATGTCAAAATCATCTAACAACCTAACAATTGTTAAGGAAGAACCCCGATAGTAGGAGAAACATTTCTGTGTACTTCATAAAAATTACGCCTGTGTCGTAGTACAATTTTTTACCAGTGTATTACTGGCCGAAGACCTTAGTTTGCAAATCTTAATACGCCTGATAAACTAACAGATTGAGAGATCCTTATCCTTAATACCGGATGATATCAGATTAAAGATTGATCTTATTCAATAAATAGGGGGATAAACTAACTCATGCGACAAAATTATTCGGTTGTTTAGGCTTTATCACTCAAACTATTTCATCAGGTCGTATTAACCTGATAGAAACCAATAAAAAGGCTTATTAGTAGGCTGTAATTAAGATTGATTACGAAAGTCTTGGTCGGCATACTGGTAAAATATACTACTATAATAACAAATGTCATCTCATTGGAATATTTTGTCGCAATTTGCTGTCTAAACGCCACATCGACTAACTCAACATTATGACATTATGAAAATATTTTCTGGGAAGATGCTCACTAATTCCTCTATATTTGTTTTGAACGTCCAACTAACTAAACGTTAGTTCAATTATTTTCTCAAGAAATAATTTCCAATTTTTGTCTTTTAGTTATGTGATTCGTCATCTATTAATGGGTTGGTAATAGATGCCCCTAGAAAATTCGGATGTTCTCTTCAAAACATCAAAAATCTAGAAGAAGACTTGATTGATACTTTTAATGAGTTTGATTCAAATGAGCATGTAAAACTTGAAAACCTAATGTGTTCAGGAAAAAATCCCTCAACAGAGTCTTTGTATCTTGAAGAACTGTTAAAGGCATTAGAAAAAGCCGGCTTAAAGTACGAAGATTATTTAAAGGTGAGTTATTTAATTTATACTTGAGAAACTTTGTTTTCTCGAAGATTCAGATATGTATTTAATGTTGTTTAGGTTAGAAGGTTTTCATTTAGTTTAGTTAACTTGTAATAAAGTTCTGTATAAAATAGGCTGCATATACATTGTTAGTTAGGAAATCCAAGATGATTATTATAAAACCCAAATGTAATTTGGTTAACTGAATGGACACTCAGTGCAGATATGTATGAATTTCATAAATGTCCTGAAAACCGTGAGCGTTATGTTTGTTTGGCTGGTAATCCACAGACCCGTTAAAAACAAAATGTTTTTAAAAAATTGAAACAAGATTTATTCAAATGTTAAGTCATTTGGTAAGAAAAACTTTTGAATAAATTCTTTGATTTACGTAAACGCGCTTGAAATAAATTATAATGATGTAGTTTTGTTTAATTTTTTGGTATAACTGAGAAATAAATCTTTCGAATAAATCAAAGCAGCACACATCAAATTTTAAATTTTATCATTTCATAGTACTCTTTGATAATAAGGCTTACTCCAACCCTATAACGTAGAGTTAATAATTTGTTCACGTTACGGAAGTTCAATCAAATAACATCTTTTTTTAGCCCAAGTTGTTAAAGAATGTGCCACTTATTATTGTCGTAGAGTATGCAGTTTGAGTAAATCCATAAATTTCCATTGACTTACATCACATCTGTAAGTTGATAATTATGATAATTGCATATAATATATTTCATTTTTTTAAAATTTAAGACTATGGATGATTTGCAAAACGAAAATGAACCTGGGGAAGATAATCAGAAAGATATGGAGTTGGACGAATATATTTTAGAAGCTACTTCCAATCCCTCTAGGAAGTCATGCAATAAAGATATTCTGGACGTTCATCAGAATACACTCCCAGTACAACCATCTATTGTGTCAGGTATATATATGTGTAATGTGTGTTTTTAGTGAGAAGACGATCTTTTACTCACCACAGACCTAGCTAGATAATTATCCTACTCATCTGGCATGTGTATAGAGCCGATTAAGTTTGATTTGTTGATCCAGAGAATCCTTGAATGTAGACAATGGTGAGAAATCAAGATTAAGCGTTAGCGCACGAGATCGAGGGTCCTAGGTTCAATTCCCACGTGCTTATTTGTAGATGTGCACTGAGGAGGGTCCCACACTAGGACTCAATGACCACCCAGTGCTTTCACGTTTTCAATGGTGACCTAACGCCTATCAGTCCATGATTTTGGTGAGACTCAACAATCGCTACAACCCTACGTTGAGAATAATTAATCATTTTGAGGCTGAAAAGTATTGGTGTGACTGAATGTATCCCAGTCTCAACTTTTACTAATAACTTAAATTGAATTAAATCTGATAATTAGTCTGTTAAAAACGAACTAAACTCTAATAGAAAGTTGAAACTGACATGATGTTTATTATACTAGATGGGGAGCAGACATATTAAATTATTTGTATGTTTGAAGTGCCAGAAAATCTCATAGGACATAGGTAAAATAAGATTTATTTATTTAGCCATTGAAATTTCCAAAAGTTATCTTCGATCATTCGAGAAAATGTGGCATTGTGTCATTGGATGTACACTCTAGTATTCCAAGAACCATCTCAAGATATGTGTTTCCAAAATTTTGAATTGATGACGCGGTACGTGGCATGAATAATATTTGAGTGACTTACCCAGAGGAAGTATTGTCTCAAAGCAAGTTTGTAAACTACCTATGAGAATGTTTAAATAAAAACAGTGTTATCGGTTTAATTCTCACTAAACCTCATGCCAACTTATTTCACCCGTAGAATACAGGAGATGTTCATGTATCAATCAAAGGACGAATACAATTTGATGCAATTATCCGTTTTGTTTTAAAGCTATGAAACGTGGCCTTTAAAAATACAAACATTTGTGGGTCAGTAGTGTTTGGGCATGGGTATCTTCGAGACATTGATCGCGCATGATGGGACCTCAGAATGAGCAATACTGAGGTTAGGCACAGGGTTTTAAGTGTGGATGACAAGTCGGCTAAGAGTCTTTATCAGTTGAGGTGGTTGGGACATGTATTACGTACGGTCGACCAACGTTTATCTAAATGCGAGATGATGGGTTGTTCAAGAGTTGGCTGGACGAAAGCTAGTGGTGGCCAAATAAAAATTTGGCACCAGTCTATGAACTCACTGATAACTGAACTGGGCCAAGTAGGTAGATGCAGATTAACGGTTGGAGACTTTGGTGACATAGCTAAAAATCGGTCACAATGACTCAGATGTATACACTTTTGTCTTCTCTTAGACCTCTAATTTCAAGTTTATTATGCTTTTTTCTGAAAATCCAGTGTTCCCTCTTGAAACATATTGTCTATGTTATCTTTTTTACAACTACTGATAGTGTTGATACTTCGAACAATTTATATATGGGTTAGGTCATATGTTACTTATAACTGACATGACCGATTCCCTAGATAAATAAGCCCGATTTGAGGGACGCTTATTTGGTAACTGATATATGACTCCAATAGATGAAATTTGATTTTAACTACACCAACCGAAAATGTGCTCAAAATTCTAATTATCTTACTAAACAAGACTAAATCGCACATTATTTCATCGGCTACTGGATTCACCGTTTTATAAATTTTGTCTCGAGAACAATGAAGAGTATTAGTACTACGAAAGAAATTTAAAATCAAGTTGTTACTTGTGATCTTTGATCAAAACGATCATTAAAGTTAAACACTAATTTGTGAACAAAACTTGTTCAACATTTTATAAACGATGAATAGAAGAACTAAAATAATTAGTTTTCATCTTAAAAATATCAAAATAATATTTTCTGATTAATACAAAAACTCATGAACGGTGTCTTGAGTATTAGTGCTATTTTATATCCAATATGTATAAATGTTCATCTACTTTGATTTTGTGAAGTCAATGAGTTTTTGATGGTTCAATGAATTGTACTGTTAGGAATTCAGAAGTTGTTAAGGTATTTTTCATGATAGCTAATGAGTTACAACTTGGATATCATTAAATCAGTTTCCAGTACTTATGTGTTGACAGAAGTTCGTTAATCTTTTAAGTGACCGTGACACATATCGGCTACCATACTATGTGATAATTGATGATGATTATCAAACATCTGCAGTTAAGCATATGAAATCAAGACTTGATGATCAAAGGGTTGAATTTCCATCATTTGGTCGTAAATTTGAACCTAATTCTGTAAACTTCAGTTTAGACAGCCCTGTATTATGTTTATCCTCCTTCTTTATTGAAACCCTCTTAAAATGATAAATTATTTATGTTTTCACTTCATTCAGGTAATGGCAACACAGTTATAAATAATAAATTAAAAATCGAAATTATGCACCAACGATTGAGTAAAGAAATCATGAAGTATGAAAAGGCTGTAAGTTCAACCTATCGTTGCATATTTTTTGTCCTATTAAGTGTTTAAGTTAGTAAACTTTCTCTTGCGTTCTTTCACTATTATAATAATCCATGGTGTATAATCTAGTTGTCATCGCACTTAACATTAGGTTAAAGATTTAGTTTCATCCTTACACTTTATCCAGCAAAAGCATAATAATAATAACAATAATGGTGTCAACATCAGCCTAAAGGATACTTAAATTCCCTATTATAAGCTAGGCTTTCTGTTTAGTAGCTTGTTGCATATTTACCTCTTATTTTCCCAAGGTTTCGAATCTAGATACTAAATAGCTGCAGGTAACCAGTAGAAACTCGTGGATATGGGTTTTGCGTCCACTCGATATACGTAATCAAGATGCATGTAATCCTCGAGGGCATGGATTACCATAATTACCATCTAATATCAGTGTCAGAGTGCTAATAATGAACTATGAAGGTCACAAGTGAATTCCTGTAGGACGGAGGTGTTCTCATCAACTAGTATCTGAGTAAAAGACAATGTGATATTGTCTGTTTCTTGGTGCCTGTTTAATCCAGTCGGGTTTGAATCCCATGGTGGAAGATTTCGAATACACTTCATGAATGAGTGCTAAACAGCACGAACCTTGAGTTTGGCGCTTTTTGTCGGTGTCATTTTACTATCTAACATCAAACTACGTCTACCGTGATACTGAGTCACAACCTAGTTTTCTCCTTGTAACTCAACTAATAAAATCTAATCAACACTCAATACATTGGTTAGTTAACACTCAGTGATCGATCAATTCATTTCAAACATTATAAATATTGACGTTATTTGTGAAAATTCTATTTGAAATAATCTCAACGATTGAAATTTAAATAGTTCCAACGCTTCGTCCAGCAAACTTGTCTGGACTTCTTCAGGGTAATAGTAAAAATCAAAATTATCAAACAATATTTATTAATTTTGATTTAGAAAAGTCAAGATTAGTTTGCTGGACGAAACATTGGTGTTGGGGAGATCCAGAAAGTTCCCCGGAAAAGACCGGGGAAAAGCTGGGAAACATTGTGTCCAATCAGCATTGAATAGAAGTTTCTCAGGAACGCTTAGAAAGTGAGGAGTCACATGTCACATTTCTGACTGAATGATTACCAATCCTGCAACTATGCTTAGTAGGGTTCCAGGACTTTCTAGAAGCCCAAGGCTACCTGAAATGCTATAGATACCTAAAATTTTCTATGCATAAAACAAATCTTGAAACTAGGCGTTTTTTCGATATTTCGCACCTTTTCTCTCGTGTTCAAGTTGTCGTGTACATTTAGCCTGGGGTTACTAGAAGAGCTTAAGAAATCGATTCAAGAGTTCATTTAGAAGATTTACCAGTTGGAATTACTTAAACTTTATTTGCTGAGACTATCTCAAATATAATTTTAACAAATAATTTCTTCTCCATATTCGGAGCCCTATTTCTGTCAAACTATTCGTCCCAATACAGACGAATGTTTGTATCAATTATCAATTTTGTCATCTATTTCAACTGCGATTTTCTTACCAAACACCAAGCAAAATACATTTCTTTTCATCGTATCCTTCAACTTATCTTACAAGAAAGACTTCTAAGTATTTGCAAACTGTGCCACAAAAAAGAATAGTTGGTAAATACTTGTTTTGTAATTGACATGGTTTTTCGCTGTACGTTGAAATTACTCACCATTATAATTGTACTGTTTTGACTCGTTTGATTAGAAAATTATTAGGTTTGACGAGCTTTTGATGGAGTTTTGTTCTGTGAACTGGATAGACTTCTATCTGAAGTTTGTGCTGATGATGTCGTTCAGAAGAACGATGAAAGCTCCACGACCAAACCATCCAGCTCAGAGAACAAAACTCCATCAAAATCATCCGCCTGAGCTACAAATCTTCTCCACCATCTCAAAAGGTTTGACAAGTAGATGATATCGCAATTAAAATACACAAGTCAATACTAAATTTCAGATCGTGATGTTTGTAAGAGTGACATATTTTTCACAAATTGTTTTTGTTTTTGACGGTAGATAGATTTTTAAATGAAACTATGTTTGTTTAAATACACTGTTTGAGTGATTTTTAAGAAAGAAACTAATCAGTACCAGTGGATGAGATAAAAAGAGACTAAAAGATTCTCATTTCAATTTTACTCAAACTATTCCGTTTTTCTTGTCATACTTTTGTTGATGATGTTCATTGGAGTATATCCTGCTTAAAAAGTCATAAACTAAAAAGAATCTAACAAAAGATGTTAATGAGAATGTCGTCAAAATCTACGAATATAAGAACAATTCAAACCTTGGAAATAATTTACTAAGCTAGAAGAATCAAAAAGGATTTTTGTGGATATTATGGTAATTTCAATGGTTGAGATCATGAGTCAATAGAATGAAACGGTCGTCCAGTGCTTCCAAGTTTTCCAGAGTGGTCTAGCTTCAATTGACTCATGATCTCAACTACTGAAATTAATCTAGAAGTATATCCTTAGTAAGAGAATTTTTTAAATAAGACAATTAGAATCTATTAGAATTCATTTTTCATTTATTTATTTATTTTCGAAACAATTATTTATCACATTTTACCTTTTTAATACAGAAATTGGAAAATTATATTGATACTTTAGAGAATGCAAAACTATGGATAAACAAAACCAATCCTCCTTTAAATGAAATTTGTCTTAGTTCAAAAGAAAATGATTTGAGCAATCAACTCAATGTAAGTACTATTGTGTTTTAAACTTTAAATATGTTGTTTTTCGGTATGATCTTTTTTAAAGAGAAGATTTGGTCTTCCTTTTTTACATTATACATTGTGTATTTTTGTTTATTCAATGATAATCATTTTTAACATAAACTTACATATCCTAGAGTAAATACCAATTAAAATCGAAAGGGATTAAAATACCATTGTTCATTGTTGATCAAATGATTACTAATGATCTGTTTGGAAATGAATTTTCTAATGTATTGATGAGATAATTAAACTTTTGGAATCAAGTAAGTCAGTTGTTTAGCTAAAATTTTAACGTCGTTGGTGAATGATGATTTTACTCAGTATGGCAAATAGATTAAAGATAAAAAGTGAACATTCACTTTAAACCCTACATTAAACTGTTAGTGCAGACTTTATATAAAAATGTTAGTCTAAATTTGATCAAATAGTTTCACAGTATTTGGGATCCGAGTTGATGTGAAACATTAATGAAGAAAAATGTATTTGTAAAATCTCAGCTAATGAATTTGATTATCCCTTGAAAAAGCTTGAACTAGATTGCCAAGCAAAAGGTTGGATCTACTGCAAATTCATTCGCTGAGATTGTACAAACACATTCTTCCTCATTATTATTAACGCATACTGTTTAAGAAATTGCTTGAAATCGGAAACAAAAACCATTAGATTTTAACTTAAAAAATTCGTGGTATAGTGTTCGCCTCAAGGAATGAATGACGTAGGTCCAGTTTCGTATAAGGTTGTAGATTTAAGTACTACATAAGAACGTTAGGCTAAACCAATGTGGTACTTCAGTGATCCATGGTTTTCAACCAGTGCTTAGTTTATATTAAAAAATCAATCTTCAAGAATATTTCAGATATTACAGAATAATGCTGATTTACGGATCTTGTTAATTTTACAGGATGACAATCAAGTTGATAATTCAATGAATCTGGACAAGTTTCCTGATTTGGAATCTGAAGAAGCATATCTCAATGTAAGTTCATTCAAGAATTAACATTTACTTTATTATATTGAAACAAATTAAACATAATTTTAATATGAAAAGTTCCATTTTGGTATTGAGTAAAAAGATGAATAGAGCAATATTTCTTTGTAACTAAATGAAAAGGAATGGAATTTTTAAAAAAAATGTTTCAAAGTTATTCTTTTTTAATCTGTAAGTTTAAGATTATTATCAGAAGGGATTTTGTGGAGATTTTAGTAATTTTATAGTTGAATTCATAAATCAATTGAAGCTAGATCACCATGAAATCAACTATAAAATTACTAAAATCTCCACAAAACGTTCTTCTGATAATAATCATCGTATGCTCACTAGTGACTGGCTTTAAGAGATATTTCCCGGAGTTTTAGTGAGAGGCAGTGACCAGTGGAGTTCAACCGGATCTGTTGTGAGATAGTAACTTACTGAAAACAATGGTGGACGGTGGCTCGATTTCGTGGATTAGTTGAAGTCAGATATTTACACCATTGGATGTTGGCTCAGTGGTCTAGATGTTAAGCGTTCGCGCGCGAGATGGATATGCACTGGGTTCGAATCCCGCGCGTGGGGTCGTGAATATGCACTGCTGAGGAGTCCCATACTAGGACGAAACGGTCTTCCCGTGCTTTCAGGTTTTCCATGGTGGTCTGGCTTCAGCTGACTCGTGAATTCAACTTTAAAATGTAAGATTAGCCTTTTGCACTAGTACAGAAATTTTAATTTCCAATATTTTTCTCCATCCATTATAAATTCACATATTTTTATGGCAAACTGTTTTTCTATGAAGGGGTAATATAGTATATAGTAATTATAAAAAAATTGAATTGGATTACATATGTTAAATTAAATAGCCAACAGATTTATTATTTTATTCTTAGTAATCAAACTAATAAATGTAAGGATGTTAATAAAATATAAATTTTCTATCCTAAAAAAACAACAACAGAATCGTTTAAAAGAATTAGAAAATGAAATGAAATCTGAACTAGAACATTTGAAACAAATTCAACAAATTAAAAGTGACTCCTTTACAGCTAATTCAAATTATCAACTACATTGTTGGCGGTAAGATTTATATTTTACTAATAAAGTTCTAACGTAGTTTAGGATTCACTTGGTATTGTTTACTTGAATCTTCCCATTGATGATTAGGACTGCAATTGATCAGTCTCTTAGGATTTATATATATATATATATATATATATATATATATATATATATATATATATATATATATATATATATATATATATATATATATATATATCGATAGTTTATGTTTGAAAATGTCTGTCAGATTGATAATTGAATATGGGCTTCTAAATTAAGCAGCAAAATATCAGTTGTGGAGTTTTTTGAACTGATAATCAAGTGAATTTAAAAAGTTTCCCTTGTAGGAATTCTTTAGTAAAATTAATGACTTTTACTTATGTATATTGTTAACAAAATACGAAAAAATAATGAATTGATTTGTTTTCTCCAAAAGAGTATTGACAGTTACTGACGATTATAACTAAGGTTTTATGTGTTGTAAAGAATATGTAAAATATTAGCAACCTTATAGACTTCATACAGTTGTCTTCATATCATTCGAAGAGATGAGGAAGTAATTGGAGAACTCGGTTTTCAGTTAATCGGTCATACATCCAGACCTGTTTCGAGCTCTTCCTTAACGAAGCAGCTCTTGTTGACTGACAAGTGTTTTTATGAATAGTAAAATGATACAAAAGTTGATATTTTGTAGGTCGTTTTCCCCATTGATTAATATCAGATTGGGAATTATTAAAAGATAGGAAACACTAAAGGCCTATCTATTAAGCGTTGGGTATGGTTTTAATCTTTCGTGACAATTAAGATAATCCATTATGTCATCGCATGAAAATAAATGGAATTCAACGAAGAAGATTTTCCTTTCGATGAAATTGTTTACTTAAGCTTTGAATCTATATTTATAATTGTTTGGTAAATATATTAGTCTATCGAGAGATAAAAATGATAATGTTACAAAGGGATTCAACATTTCAAATTCTAAGTGAGGTTACGTTATAATCAAGGGGTTAGATAAGAATAGGAGGATGAAAATAATTTACGGGTCCGAATTATGAAAGATAATTGTCCATGTGACAGATATGAAGGAAAATGAAAGACGTAAAGGTCATAATACTAGCAGAATAATAATCATGAAAATTTGTTAAAGGGTAATAATAACTGATTACAGTATAAAATTACAAAATACTAATTTAAAAACAACTCAACAAGACCAAAGTATACTGCAGAAGGGAATTAAGGCCACGGAAAGATGAGAGGTTGAACGTATCGTTTTTGTACTCAGAGTTCGGGTTTAAATTGGTAGATTGCCAACACCTCAGCAGTGCATAAGCTTTTTTGATTCGATCCAGTTCCATTGATTGTTTTATGTTTAAATTATTGTTTCTTCCTCTAGTATACGAAGTTGTTTTATTTCAATAGATGCATGATATGATCATTGAAAGTAGTCTACTGATGTTCTAGTTTGAGCTACTTATATCCACATATGTAGTATATAACGATAGTCAGGAATAGAATGGATTTCAGTAGAATATCGAGAAGGAAAGAACGGGAACGGAAAGCGATTGATATAAAAAGCCAGGGACAATGAAATCTGAGACGATGGACTATTATTTGCAAAAGAAACAGTCAAGCTTGAGACAATGGATTGATATTTTGCAAATTAAGTATTTACTGTATTGTTCTCAGATTTTAGTAAGATGTTCTGTAATTCTGTGTCTAGATACATTCAATTACCTCACTTGTATTTTTGTTCACCTGTTAATTGATATCGTAATATCATTTGAGCTCGACCCATCAATACTAGAAATCATTTATCAGAAATATTTATCTTAATAATTTCCCCTAGGTATTATTAGGTGAAAATAAAGAACCCTAAGTTCTTGATGTAGATATTTGCTTTTAAGAACAATTATGCTTATTTATTTATAAAATATTGTGCTTATTGTTTGAATGAACCAAATTATCATTAGTTTACAATTTGTTCCAGATCTTTGTTGAATATTGAACAAATAAACCTAACCGCAAGATATTTTAATGATGAATATAAAGTAAGACCTCAGTCTGCTGTTGAGCGACATTCAAATTCCGGAAAACTTTGTGATAGAACTAAGTTACTTGAAAGAAATCTCGGCTATTATTTTGGTTTACGTGATGAGGCGAGAACAAGCTGTTGGGGAGATGGTTGTGAATGTGGTTATTATATAAATGAGCTTTCTATTTTTAGACAGTTGTTTACAGAAAAAAACTGAGACAGTTGTCACTAATACAGAAAACTATTCAAGGTGTAAAGTCGAAGAGTTTGGGCAAGTTTATCTCATGAATTATTTGAATCCAAGTTTTAACCGTCTAAAATGCTAGTTAATCAGTTACTCATGAACGATGTTAAAAGTAGTAACTATTTGCATCAAAATAATTTCCTAAAGATGATATAGAGGAGAAGAATAAGAATAATAACTAGAAACATCAAGCAGAAGAGTAGAGAATTAGGACAAACAACGACAAATAAGTCGATAAGTGAAAGTGATGAAAAATCTTTAAACTCAATTTCTGTTTTGAAATGAATGATAGAAGTAATGGAACCCATGATGTGTGCTCCGTCCTATTTAGGACTAGTTAGCTAGATATGCTTGGGTCCAAGTGTTGATATTCACAGTACAACTTGAACTCAGAACCTTTCGCTTTAAATGGTGAACGCGCCATCCATTAGACGTCTGAGTTTAGATAACTAGCAGTTTATTCCAGATAAAACTAAGCGGGCATCTTGGATCTAACTTTTAGCTCGCACCAAACTTTACTGAAGTGCATATAGCTAGGTGACAATCTCGAGGCACTCCGTTCAGGATGCACGTATGCGAATGGAGACTAATCAATTATAGTTCTTTATATCAACAGAGAGAAAATGCAAATCCTCGTAAAGTGAATAGTCATATCATTAGAAATATAATGAAAACCATTGTTTCAAAATCATCAGCGCAAATTAAGAAAGGGATGATGGAAATAAGATAGGTAAAAAGAATATGATGGAAAATCAATTATAATCAACAATGTTGATTGCTTAAACGATTCTGTGATTCTACTTTCATGTGAATAAAAACTAAATGAGTTAATAAAATTGATATATTGCACACAAAATGTAATGAACATGGACTTCTGTGCAATAAAAATGTTTAATACACAATGAATACAGGATTTTAATTGCCTATTTTATTAATCAGTTATTTTCCTTTAATATTGCAATGCTATAATGCCTAATCTTTATCTAAATCCGCTGTCCGCAGTTCATTTTATAATTGATTTATGATTTTCGTGAATCCACTTTGTGATTATTGTACGAGTTCAGTACCCCTTTGTATGTTCAATAAATTGTGTATGGCTTTCTGTAATACATATCATTTTATAAACTCTTTCAAAAGTAACATTGAACTACTTATCTACACCCCTCTTGTTTGCATTCTAGCAGACTATCGGTTGTTGAAGTTTCTGCCAATGCTGCCAACTTCACTGTCCCAACTAAACCGACCGAAGATGATAAGGCTTCTCGTCCTGGTACCTCAAGTTCTTTGAAACTCCAGCTAGCCTATGGTGTTGGTGAGACATGTCACTCACCGTCTTTGGAGTTAAGTGACTTAAAAGAATTGGGTATGGAGTCTGTGACTAATCAATGTCCTGCTGTGGCGATTGGTTCGTCTACATTTCAAAATGTTTGTGATGAAGTTGATAGGTATGAGCTGCAGGTTGATTTTCATGTGCGAACAGATTGATGATCATGTTTGTCTGAAGAGTTGTGAAAACAATGTTAGAAAAATACTATTGTAGTTTCGGGAGCTTTTGTTTTTTTATTTTTCGGTTTGATATTTCCTGAGTGGTCTCTGATGTGTCTACCTAGGTTTTATGTTTTCATAGTAAAATAATTTCGATATGTATCATAGAAAACCAATTGAAAGTTGTCAACGTTGTTTTTCAAATCAGGATTGAAATATGGCGTTATCATCCAGGATGATTCCCATAACATTGTTTGATAAGAATGATTAAATCAACCCTAGACATTGACTTATTACTAGATTTTTAATCACTGTGATAAAACGTTGTTATTTCCTCCTAATCACCACGTTGTCTAGTTGATATGATTTGTTTACTGGTAAGAATAGGTGGTGTTTCGTTGGTTGTCTCTGATTGAACTAATCATCATTGGTTCCCCTTAGTTCTTTACATTAATTTTGTAATGTAATGTTTGATATTCTGTTATGTGAATGTAATTTGAGAATTGTCTTGTTTTCTTCATAATCCGTAATATATTGGTAGCTCTCAGTTCATATGTTCTACCAAATTATATTTGACAAACTTATGGGAGCGATTAATTTTGTTTGAATCTGTGATAAATCTTATTTGGCAAATCACTTTATTTTGGGAAGTACATTCTCTCATCAAAACGTGGAGATGATACCCTGTATCAATTTGTATATCTATCTTGTTTTAGATTATTTCACGTATTCTTAATTCGTACCTAGTTCAGAGACGAAATTATTAGATATGTGATTAGATATATAATGAAATTTTTCAGCCGTGCTCTACGTATTTAGAAACCAGTTTTAAGTATGTGATATCGATACATCAATCAATTTTGTTAACGAGGTATATCGTGATATAATATCGTTGGAATGAGTTTGCTTGTGAAAAATATCAGGATTTTGTTTCTAAAAGTAACTATGATTTGCATTATAACTTATAGTCATCTGAATTCTTGAATAATAATTTCTGTATATTAGAGTAGCACTGTAATTATTTTAAATACTATTTAAGCAGGTCAGTTGTAGAAGTATCTAATATTACTGGCAATCACTATGTTAAAACTGAGCAAACTGGTGAGAAAGCAGTTTGTTTTCTTGATCCTCTGGCTGCAGCAGCAATAGCGTTGTCTGATGACAATGATTCAACCTATGAATTCACATCTATGACATCTTGGGCTGCTCAAACATTGCATGAAAATGCGAAAAATGATGTCATTTCAATACCGGAGATTTCCTTATCTGGATCAGAAAACTGCAACAGCAACTTTTCGAGGTACAAAGTTAAAGATGAAAACATTTTAAAATTTTAGACTTAATGATAGACTGTTAAAGTATTTGAAGGTTCCGGAACAACCCAATTTTTCACATTGTGACCCAGTATTTTTCACAATTTCAGTAATATCAGAGATGTGTTTTTAACACTATTGATGGTTAATATATAATTCACTTTTGTTAAGAAGTTCGATGAAGATTTGTTTAATTTATAGGTGGTATTCATTATAGAGTGACATCAGTGAGATTATGGAACACGTATTTCATTGTAATGCGAAAATACTCAACATGAATCCAATGAGGAATCAAATCGAAGGCTTTTAAATATTATAACTAACATTCTACTTATAGACAACTGGGACAAAATTTATGCTCTGTATGCTGTAAGAAAATTTTATATAGACATATTATGATAAGTGTTGTTAAAGTCGTTTATATTGTCCTATGAATTCATTTCAGTTTTAAGTGACTCTGGTTAGTTCCGGTATTGAAAAATATATTGAACTGAATTAGTTACCAACAGGTTTTTAAAACAAAATAAATTCCGATCATATGCTTAACTTCATTTCAACATTTTATAATGTTTATTGGTAAACATTTCGAAATAATTCAGAAGATTAATAGTTTCTGTGAATGTTTTAAGTGATGTTAAGTGTTTTGAACTATATGAGCCAAGTGTAAAACTTTTATTGTCGTTTTGCATAACAGTATTTAATTAAGAATTCAAGTAAACACTGATGATTGGGTATGAAACAACAATAATTACATTGCAATAAAATTATTCGGCTTATAGAAGGTACCATTATTAAATTAACAAATCAAATAAACGCAGATTACAGAAATTTAACTGAATGCAAAAAGTTTTACCGCGACCAGTGGAGTTAATCTGTGTCGGGTAGAGACAGGTATTTACCTCAGTACAATGGAAGATGGCCGCGCTGTTTCACTGATTGGTTGAGGTTAGACATTAACACCGTTAACAACGTCACCTCAGTGGTCTAAAGGTTAAGCGTTCGCTCGCGAGACTGATAGGTCCCGGGTTCGAACCCCGCGAGAGGGATCGCGGGTGCGCATTGCTGAGGAGCCCTACAATAGAGGGAAACGGCCATCCAGTGACTCCAGGTTCTCAATGATGGTCTAACATCAATCGGTTTATGATCTCAATCGAAAAAGTTTGCTACGATGTTAGAAATCCGCATAAACTATGTCTAACTGAAAGTAATTGATAGCTGACAAGTATAAATATTGTTAGCCTTTAAAATTCATAAACGGTAATTAATCCAGTGTGAGTTAGTAAACAATGAAATTGTGAGGACGGCTCACGAGTGAACTCGAGGAAGCCCTATGAAGCTCAGGAAGAACCGAAGATACTTCATCTAATCATCTTTTGAAAGAATATCCCCAAACCTCTACGTGTAGCTTCCCTAATGGACAAATGCTAAAACCCCCTGCATTCAGGTTGGATGACTATAATGATAATTTTGCTTTTACTAAAAAGACTATAAATACCTGATATTTTTGTACCATACTTGACATTATTTAAAATAGCATTCCTTTCACTTGTATTCTACCTTATTTGCGACTTGAAGGGTTCTAGCGTTCGAGTGCTCAATTTGTACGCGGTATATTAAAAATCTAAGCTCTAGATATAACAGAAAAAATGTCTAAATCTATCTTGCTACGCTATTATAAGTCTCATAAATAATTTATTATTGCAGATGTACATATTCTTTGTGAAGTAGTAACTGACCTGAAACTGTAATCATCAAACATTTAAAATCAAATTGTTTGTAGTGATTTCATTACATTGTTACATAATGATAAACATATAATTTTTGTTAAATCCCATTAACACTGTTGGACGCCGGCTCAGTGGTCTAGTTGGTTAGGCGCCTGGCATGAGACTGGGTTCGAATCCCGCTAGACGTGGTCGCGGATGAGGAGTCCCGCAATAGGACGAAACGGCCGTCCAGTGCTCCTAGGTTTTCCATGGTGGTCTAGCTTCAATTGACTCATGATCTCAACTGTTGAAATGACTACAATCTCCACAAAACCCCTCCTGATACAAATCTCAATTAATAGAAAATTGTATTACTGATATTTTGTGACTTATTGTAAGTCATTTCTTCCAAGTAAAATAGCTTGCAATTAGTTACTAAATGTTAGAAATACAATTTTTTACTCATTGAGATATAACAAAATGAAATATATATTGATGATTAACTTTTTATCAAGTGTTCAATTTGTTACGTAATGTTTAATAAATATCAAACCATTTATTGATAGATTAATTTTGTTGTCTTCACATTTACGAAAGGTTGAACAAGTCTTTACAGATTGAACAAAGTGAAGAATCGACTCAAACAACTAATCTAATGGAATATATTCATAAACAAATTATTCATTTAACATCACGTAATACTAATCTTAAAACACAACCATCTATTGTTACGAATGACTTAAGCTGTCAAGTATGTTTTCCATACATTATGTATTTTACATATCAAGTATAACAATGACTGTTCACTAGTGAAGAACAATTTGTTGTATATATATATATGATATTCTAATTAACAAACAATTGATGGAAACTGAGTAATGTGGTAACTTTCATAGTCACTTTATCTCTTAGATGTATAAAGAAATAAATAGAGAGACGCTTAATTGATATAAATGTTTAAGTTCGGTTTAACCTGATGCTTCTTTCTGGTATGGTCTATAGTCTAGATATTATCTGAAGAAAAGTTAAACTTTATCAACTCATTATAGAAAACGAAGCTTAAATACTCTACTAGAATCTGGACCATAGTTTGGATTTAACATCTTAGAAATTCAGTAAACAAAATAATAAGGCTTACAAATAATTTGAGAAATAAAGACAACTATTGAAAAAAATTTACGTTTTTATAAAACTTCTTTTAGAGATAACGTAAATTACTCTGAAAATTAAACGATTATTAGGTTGTTCTTTTGAATGGTTGAGATCATGAGTCAATTGAAGGTAGACCACCATGGAAAACCTAGAAGCACTGGACGACCATGACCAGTGGAGTTCAACTGGGTCAGTTGTGAGATAGTAATTCACTGAAGACAATGGTGGATATGTCGCTCAATTTTGTGGATAGGTTGAAGTTAGACATTAACACCGTTGGATACCGGCTCAGTGGTCTAGTGATTAAGCGGTCGTGCGAGAAACTGATAGGTCCTGGGTTCTAATCTTGCGAGGCGGGATCGAGGATTCACACTGTTGTGAAGTCCCGTACTAGGACGAGACGGTTGTTCAGTGTTTCCAGGTTTTCCATGGTGGTTTAGCTTCAGTTGATTCATGATCTCAACTACTAAAATTAATATAATATACAAAAAACCCCTTCTGATACATTATTGGGTTGTCATTTTTCCATTTATACCATAGTGGAATCCATGTTGTTTGATAGTTTTATTTCATTGCTGTTTATCATTATATGTAATAGTATTGTCAGCTCAATAATTTCACAGTGTAATATATGTTATCATTGAATAATTTATTTTTATAATAACTATTTTGGTTTCAGGCAGTCTGTCTCAACTTTTTCAATGTTAAATTTGAAATAACAAATTTCAGTAGTATTTCAACATACTTCACTTTTTTAAAGTTTCTAATAATAAATGAATGTGATCTGAAATCAAATGATCTTAAAGGTATAACTCAACTAAATAATCTGGAATTTTTAGATGCAAGTGTAAGTAAACCTTTTTTGAATATGTGCAAATACCTGAAAAATTTTACTCATCCATTTTAAATGTTTGTTAACGTTTCTATAATAACTCCATTTTTTAATTGACGTGAATACTTAATTCAACAATAAAAAAGTCCTTTATTTCATAGATTAATAATGCTTTTTAGGGATTGCAACTGGAGACATGAATTACTCGTAATAACATATACCCTGTAGAGTTTGGATAGTTTACCGAAAATCAGTTTTTAGCATTCAAATATGAAACATTGACGCATACATAACTCGACATAAGCTATTAGAAAAATCTATAAAGATAGGTTAATTTGACACCAAGTTTATGTAATCCACTGGATTTTTTTGCTTTATTTTATAATCAATATGTTTTGCATAAATGTTATTTAGGTATAAGTCCCTACTGATTAAGAAATAACTTATTATGTAAAACCAGTTTACTAATTCTCTAAGATTACAAATGTAGGAACATTTATTAACCTTAAGTAATACTGCATTAAAAATGAATTGTTTTACAATGATATTTAAAGAAAAATGAGAAAACTGTACTTAATCGCACTATCGTACTAAGTTCGTTGATTTAGAAACTGAATGACATCTGTCTGAACATTTGTAACCAATTTCTAAAGCAATAACTATTTGAATAATGAATTAAGTCAAACTAAAACGCATTGAGTTATCGGTTTAATTATATATTTTACCAGTTTTTTTTCCACGAATTATCATAAAAATCGCAATTATTATGATATCTAATATCAGTAAATCAAAAGGAGACTCAGAGTTCCATCGAGGACAGATACAGTACAATTTATTGTGTCCAATTTATTTTCTGATATAATGTCATTTCTAAGTGTGGTGTGGGTTACTTATATCCACACAAATAGTTTATAACAGTGGTTGGGTATAGAATGTATTTCAGTAAAAGGTCGACAAGGAAAGAACGGAAACGGAACGCAGTTGGTATGAAAATGCATGAACAATGAAATCTGAGACAATGTATTGATATTTTCAAAAGGAACAGTCAAGTTTGAGACAATGGATTGATATTTTGCAAGTTAACTATTTACTATACGGTTCTCAGATTTTAGTGAGATGCTCTGTGATTTCTCCTCAAATACATTCGAATGTCCCCACTCGTGTTCTTGTTCACTACATAAGTACTATAATTCATTTGGAAAAGTAGTCATTAAACCCAGACAAAAATATTTTTTTTTGAGTTTCTAGATGAAATATCACTTAAGTCTGTAAGAAGCCAACAAATAAGATCTCGCGGGGTGCGGGATCGTAGATGCACACTGCTGAGAAGTCCTATACTAGGACGAAACGGTCGTTCAGTGCTTCCAGGTTTTCCATGATGGTCTGGCTTCAACTGACTCATCATTTTAATCAGTGAAGTTTCTAAAATCTCCACAAAACCCCTTCTGAAAATAAAATCTTGTTGAAAGTTCTGTTTTTAAAGTTGTATAACAATTTTGTTATGAAAATAAGCAACTGGATTCTAGCCAAATTTCTTTTCTAATGTTTGATATATTGTAGAGAAATAATCTTAATGGTATGAACCTAAATGAAATGAATTTATCCAAATTAACTATATTGAAATTAGCTCATAATAAAATGACAAAACTTTCAGATATAATGGGATACTTTCCTAATCTTTTAATGTTAGATATTTCATCGAATTATATTACAAATTTGGGTAAGTTTTCAAATAGTGATGAAAAATATTATTATGATTTCGAAATTAAAAATTAGTAATGTTGGAATAGTATTAACAATTAATTAAATATTGATAATGAAATTCGATGCCTTACTATACAGAAAACAAACAGGGAACCATTTAGTTTATGGGTAGTAATCATAATAGATTAAGATCGTTTGGAGGTGATATTGGAAACTAGGATCCAATGGATAGTTATTTCTGTTTAGTGTAGAACTTTTCAACTGTACAAACCTGCTGTGGCTCGAGTTTTAGACCTCTAGGTGTTGTAGTGAGCACATTATCTCTAGACTGCTGAATTTTCTCATAATTACAACTTCAATTAATTTACAATATGATGTGATGATCATCCAAAAGTTTTTTATAATGATTGTCTCATTATTGACATGGATGTTTATCAAATCGTTTCTAAGTAATATAAAATTTATCTCATACTAGTAATTGTAATTGTTCAATAGTCTTTATTTATTTTGCTAAGGAGGAACTAAATTGTCTTTCAAAATCACTTATACACTCAGTCAGTTTTTTTCGACTAGAAAAACGAGCCTTACCATTAAAAAAATGTATATTTATAAATCATTTAATTTGAACCTGCAATACACTAGTCATTTATTTTTTTTGTTAGATATACAAAAATTGGTCATTTCATTTCCTAAACTTTATCAACTTACGGCAACAAGTAATCTTATCACAAATATACAAATAAAACCTTCAAATACAAAATGGACTAATGAAAATCTTAATTTGTTAGATTTATCCGACAATGAATTAACTGTTATTGATGAAGACTTAACATCTCTGTTAAATATCACTAGGTTACAATTATCTTCAAATACTTTAAATAAGGTATGTGCTTAAATTTATTATTCCATAAGTTTTAAAAAGATTTGTTGAAGAAATTTAATCTTTAAGATAATCTGTTTTTCATGGAGTTTTGTTCTCTGAGCTGGATGGTTTGGTCGTGGAGCTTTCATCGTTCTTATGAACGACATCATTAACACAAACTTCAGGTATAAGTGAAGTGTTCAAATTTCTCCATATGCGTTTCACAGCTTGTTCTGTACACCTCGATTGTTGTTACCCCATTGATTCGTTTACATTTTGTTACTTTGTACTCATGGGCGCAATAAATACATATTTGCGTGAGAGTTTAGCATTATATAATCTCGTAATGGAATAAATCTTCTGGACAGAGCTCGTAAATTTTATTTATAGTTAGCAAGTAGCGAAGAGGATAAGAAGCAGTCTCCTTCCTTCTCATCAAAGTTGGAGTTAGGAACCCATTATCTTAATGGATACACGTATCGTTTGTTACAATTATTTTGCTGTTGGAATTATTAACCTAAAGTTAGTAATAAATATATTTTTTGTTATATCCTAATGAGTAGACCACTTCTTCATAGTGAATAAATAACCAAATCAAGTTAACACAAGTTTAAATCTTACAAAGAAAACGTCAGGAATACAATTTTTCTACTCATTAGGATATAACAAAAAATCTATTTATTTATAACTTTATGCCAAATGCTTAATTTATTTGAAACTAGCAAGTTCAGTCTTGGCATTGATACCTGTTAACCTAAAGATTTAAAATTATCTATGAGTTTTGAAAAATAAGATTTAAGAATGATAGGCTTGTTCGTTTGCATGAGTATTAGTGTCAAAAAGTTAAATTTCCGGTGTTCTGTATAATGTCAAATTAGCGATAAAGATATTTCACTTCAAAGATGATGTAAATTTTCTATAACTGATTCAAGTTTTATTATATACTTATATTAGGTGCTTTTAGGATCATTCCATATTACATTTCACATGATTGTTTTAAACACTGTGTAGGCTATCTATTCATTTGTTTTATTTCTTAGGTTAATCCATTTAATTTAAATGCTCTTCTAAAGAGTTTATGTTGTTTGGATATGATTCTTATCATAAAATGATTGAAGTTGGAGAAATATTATTGATTAAGAAGTTAGAAATGACTGTTTTGGTCTACTTTGAAACTTTTGAACACTATGGACCCATAGTGGAGTGTAAATGTTTAATTTTATCAAATAAATTTCAATAAATAGAAGTAGTTCTGTTTCTACGTTGTATGAAGAGAAAAGCTACTCGAAAAAAATGTTTAGTACAAATTGGCTTTATCAATGTATTCTATTTCTTTTATAATCGATTTATTTAAAGTTTTGTCAAGTTAATGATGAAACTTTCATTTGATAGCATTACTTATCAGCTCAAACAAAAATTTCGTTTATCACCGGTTGTTGTTTGATTTGTACTTCAATAAGTTTAAAGATCATGAATTTATTATCTTAAATGTAATCGAGTATTCTCAGTGTTAATTATGTGTTTAGTGTTGGGTGTAATTTTATAAAAATGAATTTAAGTCTATAAGTTGTAAATCAATTTACTAATTCCTTCATTTACCAGCCATTTGAAACTGGATTTTATGGCGCTACATTACAAGAATTGGTCTTAGATCATAACAATTTAACCTCAATAAACTGGTTAAGTGAAAGTTGGTTACCAAATCTCATTTATTTGGATGTAAGCAATAACAGGTAATTTATTTTTAAGATTCATTTTTAATTCTTCAGTGAATTATATCATAATTTAATTGATCATATACTTCATTTGGTGAGATCATAGTATATGGACGACCTTTGAGGGACGCTAAAGTGACCTTGAGAGTATCTACCTACTTACTAGGACTGAATGAAGGTTATAAAGCAGTTTGAAGAATAAGGATTATGATTTACAGTTGACGGTCTGGGTTAGGAACTAGATTTAAGGTATTTATCACGAACTGACATCAGCTATAATGCCAAGACTTTATTTAGCCAAATGGATGAATGAATTTTGTGCCAAAATCCAAGACCTGTTATCGTAAATCTGATTGGTTCGTCCATAAATTATAGTTTCGCCGTTAATTAAATTAATTTATGATCGTAGTTGTCTCCTTTCGACAAGTTGACGTGCTTGATAGGAAACATAAATCTGATAAAAGACGGAGCTTGAAATGAAAACTTTAATGAAAATTATTCCGCAATGTACCATTTTTATCCATTAAATGAACGGAGAAAGAACTGAGATTGTAGGGTAAGATTTAATCAGTTAAATTTAAAAACGTTGAAGATAATCTTAACCTTCATTTGTTTCTGTAAATACTGTAATTAACTTCGATAAAAAGGAATACAGTTTGTAAATACAGATTCATTGTCTTTTTTTCTTGTCAGGATAATTGATTTACCTATGCTGCCGTTTCCATTATTACAAAAGCTTATAATCAGTCATAATTTGATAAATGGTAAGCAAACATACTATTGTTTTAAAAGAATATTTTATGTTTATTGCACTGTAGATGTGATTGAACTCCATATATTACAACTTATTTCAACGTCAGTAATAACCTGCATTTTGATTTCTTTTTGTACAATTTCATTAGAATTTTATCTAGAAATATGTAGGTGCCTCCATCATTGATTAACACCAGTTATGATGTCATTGAAGATCAGAGACCACTAAGGAGCCATCTTATTACTGCATTAAATTTCTCAAAAGTCCATGCACATAATCTTACGAAGGATGAAATTTATGACCTCTAAGTCATTCAGGATCATACCTTTATGTTGCTTAGTTGAAGTTTAGCGGTCCGGATTTATAACTTGAGGGACCTATTAATGTATTTAAGTGACTACTAAATGGCATAAGTGACGATTATGTTACTCCCAACATAGTTAAACTCCATTGATCACGATTTCTTACTAGAACCTCGGGAACTTGTAAATTAGTCTAAGCTTTATAACTCCCCCACAGTAAAAGTATTTTTGCATAACTGAATAAACATAGTTTGATATAAATTGTGTTTCATTTTTACTGGAAAAAAGATTTGTCATTAGTTCTTTTCTTATTATTTTGTATTTTAGAAATTGAGTCTCTCTTCAGAGGAACAAAGGTTTTACCACGTAATTGTATGTTAGATATCCGGTGTAATCCTTGTACACTGCGTTTGAATTTTACGTATGTTTTAATTTTTTTCTACGAAAACATTTATGCCAAACTAGTTTAGGATTTTTAATTCTAGCCTTGTAAGCAAATTACATGACACCTTCCTGACGTAAGAAATGTCAACTGATAACATCTCACAAAAGTACCTTGAAATATTAGACCTAATTGTGAGGGGGGGGGTCGAAAAAAAACACGTCTATTTTTTTAAAAGAGAAACCAACACAAATATAATCGCATGAACGAAGAATATTCTTCTCAATGAATTTCTCATCAGGTTCTACAATTATAAATCCAAATTAATAATCCATAAAATTGGCCAAATTTAAGGCAAAATACATCATTTGGAAATAGTAATATGTGAATTAGGAATTGTTTGTTATATAAATAAAATCGTTAATGTTGGGGCTGACTAATATAAAGTGTTAACTTGAATCAGTTTATAAGCGAAATGAAATTGTGAGATAAATGATCAGAATAAATATGGTCAACATGGGGTGAGAGAGAGAGAATATTGTGATTACAAATCGGAAATTACGTAATATGTAAAATAATTAGGTCAACTATAGTAGATTCAGGGGTGGATATTGAATAAATTCCTCAAAAAGGGGTTATCAAGTGTAAAGACAGTAATAGTAATAATAATAGTAATAATAACAGTAATAATAATAAGTTTGGGACATAAAATGAACATTAATCAGATTACGTCACTACATTATAAGATTGATTATTAGCTAGTTGGCCAGGTTAAAAGGAGTGGCTGAACATACTTCTTTTGGATACAAAGTTCTGGCTTTTTGATCCGAATAGCAATTGCTTCAGCCGTCTGTAGGATTCGCAGTCTGACGGAATTAGGTAGACTGCTGTTGACACGATAGATTATTGCAAAAGATTGCTCCATGTTTGCTGTATGTCCTGTTTGGACTGAATGGTCTAAGATGGATCTGTTAACAGTTTTGACAACACCTTTGCCTAACCACACGGGTAGGTGCTCACGAGCCCGAATGTACAAATTCTTAGAACACCTGCCAATATAACTTGCTCCACAGGAGCAGTTGCATTGATAGATACAGAAGGAGGTGGCTAGTCTAGGTAATTTATCTTTCAACCTCGGAGTGATTATTGGTCGTGTGGAGAATACTAGTTGTAGTTAAGCTGCATTGAAAGTCATTTGAATCGATCTACTTAACTCAAGTCTTAACATTTCACTCGGTGCGTCGCCTCTGAATTGTAAGCGCATATATAGAGGCTTTTTCTTAACCGTTGGGCATTCTCTACACTGTCTTTTATTGACTAAGTTTTTATTTATAAATTTCTCCGGATATCCATTTTCCATCAGGGTCGTAAATAATGTCATTGTTTCATCTTCAATCGTATCCATAGTTCATATACTGATTCAAGTTAACACTTCATATTAGTCATCCCAACATTAACGATTTTATTAATATAACAAACAATTCCTGATTCACATATTACAATTTCCAAATGATGAATTTTGCCTTAAATTTGGCCAATTTTATGGATTATTAATCCGGATTTATAATTGTAGAACCTGATGAGAAATTATTGAAAAGAATATTCTTCGTTCATACAATTGTGTTTTAATATAATGGGAATTTTTCAGCAATACAAATATAATCGCTCCTAACAAATGGATATGAATTCGCAAGAAAAAAAAACATGACAGTAAACAGAAATGTAGTATAACTAAACGAGGTTTTATCTTGGAATATGATGTACGATATACTAATTGTCTATGTAAGGAACTAAACGTTTTTATTCTCAGGAACAACCGTCAGTAAGTTTGTGTCATGTAAGGAAAGAATATTTGGCTTGTAATATTGTTTACAAAACAACTATACTTACGTACTTTCAATTATATTATCACTAGAATCAAAAACTGAAATTTGTGATACAGTCCAATACAATTGTATTTTATGAAGACTTCAGAATTTTCAAAAGTGCAAATGATTGAATTTGCTCAAGGATTCAGATAAGGTATATCATGTTCACAAAGAAACTAGCATTTTGTAAATGAATCAGATAAAAGTATCGTAGAAAATCAAGTTATATTAAACTATTTTTATTCTTGATTGGAACTTCTTATCTAATATACACCAGTGACCTGGTTGCGTAACAAAATTAGGGTATTTAGGTCTTACAATGAGGGCTTAGTAGATATCAGTGATCCGAATTTATAAAGTTTTCCGCCAGCAACTTTCGTTCTATGTAATCTTAAGAAAATATGAGATATCTTATTCACTCGATTGTTTCCCTGTTTATGAGTTATAATATTTGATTAATCAGTATCTGTAATAACAATTGAAGTAGTTCGATAACACTCTTGTGTGGTAAAATGTTATGAACTTCTTGTAGTTTGACTGTTTTTCATTTATTCTCAGGGAAACTATCAAAGAAAAGTTTCCAAACACAATAAGCACTTCTAATCAAGATAGTGTTTTGACAAGGACAATATTTCAAAATCATGAATTCCAAGCTACTGTTTTCAGTGAAAGTATTTGTCAGTGTTCACAATGTATTCGTTTGAGAATGTCATGTGAGCAATACTACAAAGAATATCAAAAATGCGCAAACTGTCTGGACTTAACATTTAAGTAAGCTCCTCACATTTGTCACCGACATTTGATGATAGCTATATACTGTGTGAATATAGTTCCAATGTGTTTTGAGAAAAACAAAAAATTATTGACAACAAATATTGAATAATATTTCTTTGAAACATTTTCCCGCAGTTTCCAGTCGAGCTAGGGATTTGACAAATTCAATTTTTACTGGTTTGATGGTAACTAATATTATATTGTAACTTTGATACACTAGTTTTGTCCACCACTTGAACCGTTCCATATATATGACTGGTTCTACGTTGTAGTTGACTGACTGACTACTACAAAAAATGAAAAGTGACTAGTACATGGAAAGTTCACAGTTTTTCAAAAGCAGTAGATTACATATTTACAAATAGTTTGTATAAGTTGTTGCCGAAGTCGGTCTTTTAGTACAACTGAACTTTGTTTATTCCTATTAAATTCCTATTCGCTCAGCCTCCATAACTTCTATGGGGCTGCACAGCATTAAGTTGTCGGCAATGCTAGAGTTAATATATATAACAGGAGTACATTGTATTAATTAATAATCTGGTGTTGCAGAGTTTTATTTGGTCCATCTCTTGGTAACATTGCCTTTCTAATCGGTTGCATAATACTGATAAAAAAGTTGTATATTATCCACTTTAGTTATTCGTTCTCTCTCAATAATCGCACTTGTCATTTAATAGTGTTTTGAGTTCAGGATAGTTGCTCAATCAACCAAATCTTTAAATCGTAAATTGTATATCATTATTTCATCATTTTACAAAGTATTTCAAACACTGTATATTTGATACTGGTTAACTCGTTTATATTATTCCATTTCCATAAAGACGTATCAACGATGCAGTTACGAATCATGAATTACTGTGTCTTGATAAGCCAATTTCAAATAGTCATGTATTATGTCACTTAAATTCGAACAATAATCTTCACCTGAAAAATCAGCTTGTTCATTTTAATAATCAAAATATTATACTCAATATTTTTTCAAAAGAAAACCAATGCTCACAAATATATCACTATATAGATCTAATTGAAGAGATAACCGTATTGAAGAGAAAGCAAATTGATTTATTGAAGTTATTTTGTCATGAAATGAATAATACAGTGTCAATTAATGTTACGAAAAATGATTTTCAGTATAAAGTTCCTATCAAAGAAATTATCCAGCATTTTGTAATGTATAAGAGTTCTTCAAATTAAAATAATTGAAGGTTAGTTTAAACAATTACCTTGTTTTACGTAAATGTTTTGCATATGTTTATGTAGATAGAGATTTATTTAAATAGGTGGCGATCCTTTGAAAATCAGAGAACATCGGACAATTACAGTATTTCTAGTTTAAATCTTTTCTATAATATAAAATCAGTCTCCAATCACCACTGTATTTGTTGGCGATGGATTTCTCAAAAGTTCTAGTTGAACATCTGTGATCGGTAAATTTAAGCTAGAGAATTCGAGAATGAAAACCATTGAATGCTAACTCAGTGTTTTTCAAGGCTAAAAATCCACTGTGAGATCCAAAGGCCTGTGTTTAATTTTTCACGGTGCTGTTGATCCGCACTGCTGAAAAATCCTGTTTTATGACGAAACAGCTATCCAGTGGCTCCTTGATTATTTGGTAGTTGTTAAACCAAGGTAAGCTGGTGATATATTACTTTAAAGTCATTGAAATTAGCAGTGAAACGATGTCTTACAAATGAGATTAATTAGAGAATACTTTATATGAAAAATCGCCTGAAGTTAGAGATGAAAGCTGACGAGTACCTACTCAGTGATTCTAAACGCATGGTGTTCATCTGATATTATATTTTTAACGGGGTCACTGCTGTGGACCTTTCGGAAATCTAAAACAAGTACGAAGTAGCTGTCAACTATTCTAACGTCAGTAGTTCTATAACTGATATGTCAGTCCATGACTTGAATCATCAAAAAGTTTTTTCATATTAATAGTTATACATAAATATATATAATATTTGCTCCTAGCATTTAAGTAAGAAAAGAAGATAATGTATTTTGTTTGTTTTATGACCAACCTAACTACTTGGTATATTCAGTTAGTCGGTTACAAATAATCTAATATTTGACACACATATTTATCAGTATAATTTGACACACTGTGTTAGTATAAGGAGACAAAACTACCAAAATTAATCGCCGAGTATCGAGTGCAGTAACAGTATCGGTGATAGTATAAGACATTAAAAGTAAATAATACGGTTCAATGAGTGTGAAAGAATTCATGAAACAGGATATACAAAACAATTTTTGAACTCAAGAATATTAAGGAAGGGAAAGAGTTTGTAACTTTAATCTGTTTGCTTTTAATATTCAAACATGAAAAAAGAGAATGTATTATGTTTTACGATCAACCTAACTATTCACTTTATTAACATTTTGGGTAGAAACCATTAATTAATTAATTTCAATTTCTTACAACTAGAAGAAATTAACTGGTCAAATTGACTGAAAAGTTAGCCTTATCTTTTAATGATATTTCATTCTAAATTTCAAAGGGTTTTATTGGTGTTATGTCCTTAGCTTACACGATTACTGCGAATAAGATTACCAAATTTAGGTACGAGAACTTATACAAACAACAAATGACGCATACATCTGAACGTACATTCTGCAGTCCCGATTGGCCCTTTTTCCTGCTTGTTAAGTCCAGAATACAAATCTCAGCCCCTGAGATGTGAATCATGTATTCCAAACATACTGGGTTTATGTGCAAGCCAAACAGATCACATCACACCATAAAATAGAAAATAACATCTTTGATGGATCTTATAAATTTCCTTGCTAAGTTATAAACACGGCGGGGATGATAAAGTGTCTTCATTTCATTTCACACAGTAGTCATTAAGAAAAAACATTCATTTAACTTATCAAATTGTATTAAGAGCAAATATCAAAGCAAGCTATTCTAACTGAGAGGAATTGTGAAAGATTCTAATGTCCAGTGATCATGAGAAGTAGATACAATACTGAACAAAATAATCTACATTTTGAGACATGTAAAATTTTGTATAAATATAGAAATCATTTAAGGCTTTTCTCCTCCAGTTAAGTGGATAGATTTCCACTTCAGTACTGTACTAGGCATTGTTCCAATATTAATATGTCCCATCAGAGGCATGTATCCTTTTTACGTCCCGCGTCAAATTTACTATTCTTTGATAGCTTTTTTCAAAAGTGTATTAATATAACTAAAATAGAAATAACTGAAAATGCTTTTTTTGTTCATTTCAGCCATGTCATATGCTGTGTATGGAATTGATAACAATATCTGTTACGTCATTAAACATAAACTTTCTATGTCTTTACCGTTAAACATAATATTTTACGAAGATTTTTCTTTTAATGTACAGTTTCGTTGTTATGTGATTTTCAAATTGTTTTCAAAACATATGACGGACAACAAAAATAAAAAATACTTTCTACATGGAAGCATTCATAGTTCTGAAATTTCTTTCTTTTAACACATACTATTGATTTATAGTCAGTAACTTAATGGAAAGCAAATAAAAAAGAAACGTTGGGGAGAAAATTTCCGTAGTTAAGATAAAACTCGATACATAGTAAAAAATACTGCTTTAGAGTATTTTATTCATAAATAAACTTCATCAAAAATGATTTATTTTTATTGATTTTGCCTGTGAAGTCTCATAAAGGATAACAATGACTAAAGTTTGAGCATTTTATACCAAGCATTATACATTAGGCAGATGAAAGTAATCAATAGTAAATCTGAAGTGACGACTCATTTCCAATGCGTAGCGAAATATCTAACTGCCTCTCTAGCCAAGAATTCTCTGCGTACGTTATACATCATTTCAATGAGGAAATATCTTATTACTGGAAACTAATCTCTCTGATGATTTTAAGTAATGTGCTAAGACCAAAGCCATCCTATTTTGAATGTAAATTTCTGTAACATATTCCTGTTAGCTTGAATCCAAAAACGTACTTAGTGTAGTATTCATACACTAAAAATAACATCTATAAGGGTTTCAAAAATAAATTTATGAAAAAAACAGAATTTTCGCTGAGTCCTTTTTTACTTTCAAGCAACACTTTTGAAATAAAAATTCAAAAGTAAGGAATGAATCCATTGCCAAGATCTAAAATATAAATATTTCGTCAAACTATTATGACTTCCATTTTTACAACTTGGATTAACTGACTGATAATAATTGAACTGACGGATTCACTAGTACAAATGGTTTACGAATTGAATAAACATAATTATTCATTTTGATCCTGATTTACTAAAGAAGTTAATTGATTACAAGAGCTATGAACTGTCGACAGCATAATCATATATTTTTATACAAAGCATTCTAAAGACACAGATTGCCATTAGTTTTTATTTCCTCTATGTATATTCATTAACCATAATGTAGAATGTAAAGTTGTTCAAATCATCTTTATCAAATGATAATAATACTATGTTGGACGTATTTGTCCCAGTGTACACTTGGTGCAAGAATTTGTATGTAATTCAATCGGTTCAGTTAAACATTTACATTAATATGGGCTTGTTATGCTGATGCATTCTTTTGATGAACGTATTCTAGACATTGAAGCAATATTATTTAAGTACAAATGTTTTATTTCATGCTTGTAACATGTTTGATTTGATTGATCTTTTGATGTTCTTTTACATTTACACTTCTTAAAGTAAGCTATAAATTTATTTACAATTGAATTTGGTAGCCAAAAACTGCATAAAATAATCTGTATACCAATCAGTGTAAGAAATGCAAATATAGCTGGGACAAGTAAAAATTTATATTCTTCCCAGTCTATTGTTTGTTCTTTGATAATAAAAGTATGATTTCTGTATGTGACTGAAGTTTCTAAAACTAGTTTGGTTTTTGAATGGTACTGTAACGTTCTATTTACAATGGACACAGCTACAAAATAAATAATGAAGAAAGACAATAATAAATTTGTTAGTTTTGTTTATGTACAAAGAAATTAATTTTGGTAAATAAACATATAGCTCTTTATGATATTGTTTATCTCATTACATTCTCTCAGATTCCTCCAAAGTTTTATCACTGTTCGAAACATATCTGTTTAACTAGGTCTCACGGTATCTGTTATGTCTAGAATTTAGATTCGTATTATACTGCATACAATTAGAGCACTCCAAAGCTAGAACCCTTCAAGTTGCAAATAAGAAGGCAGAAGACAAGTGAAAGAAATGCTATTCCAAACAGTGTCGAATATGGTAAAAAACTATCAAGCATTTATAGTTTTTAGTAAAAATGAAATCATCATTATAGTTATCCGATCAGCACACAGGGGGTTATTAGCATTTGTCCAACAAGTAAGCTACACATAGGGATTCTCGAATGTTCTTTCAAAAGATGGTTGGGTGGAATATCGTCGTCTCTATCTGAGCTTCTTAAATCATTCTCGAGTTCACCCGTAAGTCGTCCTCGCGTTATCAATATACTGAATGCTATTATACGAGTACATACTTTTATCAAGTATTTTGTAATTATCATAAAAATCTTATTTCAATATTTTAGATGTATCAAAAAGACTACTCATTCGTTCATATTTTAACATGTTATACGATACTGTGTGTTGTACATTAAAAGTATAAACAAACAATTTGTTAGTTAGTTATAAACTCTATCTGTAGTTTCCCAGTTGAGTTCATGGTCTTATTTAGATTGAAGTGTTTGAGGAGAAAGTTTTTCATGTCAAGATGATTGCGGTAAAGATGTCTTGTAGTAATAGTAGCAGGGTCGAATTTGTTAAGTCTCTTTGGAAATATTAATTATGAAATAAACATCATGGCTTCATCAATTAATCATTTTCAGTAGCACGTGTTTACTGACAGCAGTTATACAACTATCATTAGATATTACTGATGTAAACTCCAAGAATATGTTCATATATATTGATCTGTGCAAAATCAACTTTGTTACATAAAAAATCATTCTCAAGAACTTATAAGCGCAGATTAAATATTGTGAGATCTTGTTTGTTTCTCATAAAATCATGGGAAATTCGACCTGGCACATTATTTAGGTGGTTTGTTCTCGCATAGAGTTAAGTTGTTTGCACAAATTGATTAATGAATACCAGCAGACTGGTAATTGCACGAGTACCTCACGTGTAACGTCTTACAACGAGTGTTGCACATATGTTTAACGAATTCTAATTAACATCCAAACTTAGTCCATAAAGCAATAAGTTGTGTAGATTAATGATCGTATTGGAATTCAGTCGTTTGAATTCAATCGACAATAAGAAATAAGTATTGACGACATTATTTCATTCTCAGTGATATACGTCGAATATACTGAAACTTTACTTATAATCATTTATTCTACTAACATAGACTAAAGTGTAGCCATGACATAATCCTTAAGAGTTTGTCAACGCAGTTTCCGGTGATAGCATTTTCTTTAGTTCACTGAATAAATTTCTCTTTTAAAAAACTACTAATTTTTGGACCTACATTCAGTTTATGAAGAACGATATAACCCCAACTAAATTAATAAAATCTATGTTTATAGTGTTAACGTGTTCACTAGTGACTGAATTTTACAGTCACTCCAAAATATTGTAAACTGAGAAGCAACGGGATAGTGCATTTACTTATGTTGATTATGAGACATGTATCATCTGTTACAATCGATGAAGGTCTCATAATATTGAGAGTAGATTAAAGTCAGAAATGTGAGGCACTATATGCTAACCATTTAGTGATATAGTGATACCACCATGATGAAATTGTTGGTATTCACTTCTAAAAAGTAACATACTACAATCAAAATAATGTGGGCTGCCTCATGATTCCCAACGTTCATGATTTAATATGGTGAAAATTCCCATTTTGCCATTTGGTAAATAAAGAAGGAACGAATTGAGCGAAGAAATTTCTTTTCAATTAGTTTTTCATCATGGCTCTACACTAATATATATACGTTTTACAATAATAATATAATACTCATCGAGTGGATACGTTACGTAATAATTGCATAATGACATTTAAATTAACATTAATTAATTGGAAGAAAGAGGATTATTAATATTCAAAGTGATCAAGAAGTTGCTAAGTTGCGTAATGTAAGAAACAAAGAAGGAACAGAATTTTAACGGATGGTCAATAGGATGGTAGTTACGTAAGAATCAAGAGATGAATGTTGAGAAGTTATTAAGTTCAAAAGCAACAGAAATAGATTTACAAAAGTTTTAAAAAATTACAAAAATTACAAAAGTTTTAAAAAGTTAAAAAAAAAATGGAAGAAGTGTGAAAAATAGTTATTTTGAAGGAAATCTTAAACTGATGGCCAGGGCGGGGAAAGTGGTTGTACGAATCTCTTTTGTATGCAAAGGTCAGGTTTGTGAACATGGATTGCGATGGCTTCCGCAATATGCAAGAGGCGCACTCGTAAACCATGTGGCAAATTAGATGGGATATTGTAGATAACCTTAAAAGCTTTATTCAATTCGACTTGATGACCTGTGTCAACCAAGTGAGAGAGAATAGAACTTTTAATCACTTTTACCTGTCCTTTGTTTAACCACGACGGATGATGTTCAGTAATGCGATGACGGACTTGCCGAATTGTACGCCCAATATAACTGGCTCCACAGGAGCAGTTGAAACGATAGATACACATAGATTTGGCGAATTCAGGCAGTCTGTCTTTGTTGGCTGTTCTTATCTTAGGATAGTTGTAGAAGATTGCATTTAATCTGGCAGCATTAAATGTTTTTTGTACGGCTCTTCTTAGTTTCTGAGTTAAGGTTTCTTCAATGGTGTCATTTATGAATTGTAGTTTTATGAATAGTACCTTCTTATGGACGGTGGGTATCTTTGTGCTTGTTTTCTTCTCCATCATATGTTTGTCGATGAATTTCATGGGATACCCATTCATGCTAAGTAGGTTCCGAATATTATTCAATTCTTCTTCGATGGTGTCTTCAGAGCAAATCATTCTAGCCCGTTGTGTCAAGATTTTAATCAAGTTCCTTTTGTATCTGATTGGAACTGCACTATAGAAATGAGTGTATTGTCCTGCTGAAGATTTTCTGTGTACCCCTCTTTTTAAAGTTCCGTCTGCTCTTCTTTTTAGCTGGACATCTAGAAATGATATGCTGTCGTTCTGTTCATCTTCTGATGTAAATTTAATTGATGGATGAACGTTATTAAATGTATTAAGTAAATTGTCCTTATCATTCTCTTTTTCTAGTACTATGAAGGTGTCGTCTATATAGCGATAATAAGTTGGTAAATGGCTAATTATGCTTTTAAGTGGTCCGTTTTCCAGTTTTGCAAGGAGCCATGATGAAAAACTAATTGAAAAGAAATTTCTTCGCTCAATTCGTTCCTTCTTCATGATTTAAGTTGAAAACTGTTAAATAACATCATAAAATAATTGTTTGGTACATATTTGTATACAGTAACAACTTTAAATAATAATACAAGGTTGAATGAAATAACAATCCATAATTTATACCTTAATAATTATTATCAATTCAACTTACATTTGTTTTGACCAATTAATTGAGTTTCTGATATAAACGACTTTAAAACATCAGAAACAAGAGAATTATTTTTATCATTCATAGAATTCTTTGCTAACTTGAAACTTAATCGGATGTTATTTTTCTGACATGTAAATGAATGAGCTATGGAAAAAAGATATATATATTACGTTTAAGAACAAAGATAATTGGGTTATTCAAGAAAAAAAAACAATGGTATTATGTAAAAAGGAAAGCTTTTTGTAATTAAAATATGTTAGATAAAGATATAAACTCTTTAGAAATGTTACTTTTTTTTATTCTATCCAGTATTTTCATATATTTCCCTCTATTAAGTTTTTGATTGAGATCATGAACCGATTGATGTTAATGATCTCTACAACCCCTATACTAGTAATTAACATGTGCTCATTAGTGACTAGCTTCGCGGGGGAATTCTCGGAGTTATAGTGAGAAGCTGTGACCAGTGGAGCCAATCCATTTCGGGTAGAGACAGGTATCTACCTCAGTACAATGAAAGATGGTCGCTCAATTTCGTGGATTGGTTGATGTTAGACACTATTACCATTAGATGTCGGCTTAGTGGTCTAGTAGGTTAAGCGCTCGCGCGCGAGACCGACGGCCCTAGGTTTGAATCACGCCAGTAGGACCGGGGATGCGCACTGCTGAGGAGTCCCACGATAGGACGAAACGGCCGTCCAGTGCATCCAGGTTTCCAAAGGTGGTCTAACATCAATCGGTTCATAATCTCAATAAAAAACATAAAGTTTATTTATTGTAGTCGTGGTGCATGAATATATCCCCACTAATGACATCATAGTCTATTGGCATTATAAAGTTTTTTAAATATAAACTTTCATATTATAACTAATTTAAATTTTGAAAACTGTGAACAATTAACTGTCTTTTAAAAGTATAAATCAACCAAAGCAAAATTTATAGGATTTATGTTTAAGTATTTAAGAATATTAATCTTGATAACTAAAAGGAAATTGTGAATTAGGTTAAATTGAATGTAATTAGAATATTAAATTGTTTTAAGATGAATAAGTTTGAATTCAAATGAACTGTGACTTTGTCTCAGAAGATTGACAATATTGCAAGATATGCAAAGCTAATAGTATTGCTTGTTGAAACTTAGTATAAAAGATAAATTTATATTTTATCAGTATATTGTAGAAAATCAGTCGTGGTTTATAGATTCACTTAGATAATGTTTCGCAATAGTCAATTTAGATATATCTAAAGTAAAAATGATATATCCCGACAAGAATAATGAATGTTAACTGTTGGGATCTATTTATGGAATAATACTATAGATATATATTTATTGTGTAATTGTTAAGTAACTAAACTATGCATATTCATGTTCCTCTTAATGTAAGCTTTATTTTGACTCATAGACTATTATTATACGATTTACCATTCTTCAGTTGTGTCCAGTCTATTATTTACAGTCTTCCGCATTCATAGGCACTTCTGGTTAGATATTGTACAAATGTTATTTTCTGTTGTATGGTGTGATGTAATGTGTTTGGCTTGTATATAAACTCAGTATGTTTGAAACACATGATTCATATCTCAGAGGCTGAGGTTGATATTCTGGAATCAACAGGCAGTGCTAGGCAGGACCAATCAAGAATCTAGACTGCTAGTACGGGTTTATGCGTCATTGATCCGTTCGATAAGTCACTTCTCTAATTGGTGGTATCACTACGTTATAACAGAAAATGATATTTTTTCAGTAAATGTTACCAGAACCATTCTATAATCTCGAAAGGAATCATTTCAAATTATTTGCAGTAAGCTTCTACATAGACTATTTTATCGTGAATACAAAAATGCATTGCTGTCATAACTTAGTAATTCAGAAATTAACTTAAGTAAACTATATTACTTGTCAGTAGTTATTGTTAAATTAAAGAATATTCATGGCTCGCATTTAAGAAGGGGCCCGTTTTTATTAGTCGATATTATTAGTATTGATTCATCAACTTTAGAACTCATTTGTTTTTCTAGGTTAAATACGAAATGTTTGTTGGAGAATTCCTGAAATGAAATGAAATCGTGTAATAATAGATTTGAACACAATTTAATTAAAGCAGTAGTAAAATCTATGTAAAAGTAATGATACGCGATTCAAATTAAAATTAATTAATACTTCTTCAACTTTAAACGACGTACTACATTCCCCACGATTCATTTTACCAATGAAATTAATAAAAGAAATATAATCTGTCATTTCATATTAGTTTTATATGAAATACATTATCGATTAAATCATAATAATAAAAAGAGAACAGTTTGTCCCTACCTATAAAGTGTACAGGTATATTGTAATCAAAACTAGGAAGTGATGTGATCTCTGGGAATCGACTAACTTTAAGTACAAATTCATTCAATGACTTATTACTAAAACAATCTAAAAGTTTAATAACTTTTATTGATATTGTTTTATTGCATTTCATTTTTACTCGTGAATCATTTGTCTAAAGAGAAAGAAATAGAAATAAAACATTGAACAAGTTAATAAATTAAATGTTATTTTGATTCATAAAAACTCTAAATAGATATTGTTTGAGTAATTGATAAATAGAAGGAAATTGTATTACAGGAAATTCGATATTATGAAACGTTTTCGACCTTGTGACTAATATTGAGTGGTAATTCTTTTTGCTCTAATGAAAAGCTTTGGAGTTCAACCACGTCAAAAAAGATCTTCATCTCTTCCTAGTTTTTAAGAATTAGTTGACTAATGTCAATTTGTAATGTAAACCATGATATTCAACAATTTTTTCAAACCTCATTGTATTCATAATATAAATTGGCTGAATTTTATGATAGTTCAATTGTATTAATGACATTCTAAAGCGATAAAAGTATTTGAACTGCATTCTACTCACCTAATAAAGTTCAACATTCAAATCGAATAGATTTTGAAGGATTAAACTATTGATTCATCAATTGAATACATGAAAATCATATTTACAATTGAAGTTACTATATAAAATAAACTTTTTTTTGAAGAAAAGTTTTATAATTTCAATAGTTGAGATCATGAGTCAATTGAAGCTAGATCATCATGGAAAACCTGGAAGCACTGGACTATATAAATATATACATGAATGATTAAAGATAGAAATTAACATCTACGAAAACATGATCAAAGGTTATTCATTTATGTTCATTTCAATACTTTCCTGATAAAATGATATGCAACTTGTGAGAAACTAATGTTGTGAATGTTTAATATTCACTTCGTATTTCTGTTTAAATTCATATAAATTGTATTGAATTAATTAGGTACTACAACTATTACTTCAACATCACGTGAATGTATATAGAGCATAATGGATACTGAATTTTTCTATCTTGGGTTTCATAACTGTAGGACGATTTAAAGAGTGATAGATGGGAAGGGTAGTTCAATAAGTTATACAAAATGGTTTTGTAAGAACTCAATGCAGAATATTTAAAGTATCTCCTAAGATACTGTAGCCGTATAATTGGGGTTTTTGTTTGTCTGAGTTATTAATTATTGATTCTCTGAATGAGTACGATCGTGTTAATGAATTTGAGATTAAAAACAATTAAACTGGTCAGCGGCCTATGCTCCATTGGGAGTAACAGGCGTAATGTAATGTATGTAATGATATACGATAATGTTAATCATTCATCCAGTATTGCACTCATTTATTATGCTGTACATAAAGTAATCATGGTGTGATACTAAGAAGTTCTGTTTAGATAATTTTTTTCTAAAAATGTATAGGAGGACCTTACCTTACGTTCAATAAAACTACTCTTTTTTAAGTGTTGAATAAACAATTATAAAACATCAGATGAAATTGACTCATTGAATTATACCTGATATACCTTGCTTGGGTTTTGTAATGAATGAATTTCCTTAACTGTATGACAAACTTTATATGCATAAAAAACCTTAAGGAGTTTCAGTAGTTATTTGTTTTAAAATATGTTATTCTGAAGTATTACAATTGTAAGTTTATTGTGAATTACTGAATAGATATACAAACATGACAGTAAAGACCACCAAACAATTAATGATTGTTCACTGTCATACATATTGAAGGTTTTAATTTGATGTCAACTGAGTAATCACCTCGTTAGTCATTTGTTTTAGTTAAAGCGGCGAGACTATAGTTTATGGACGAATCAATAACGTATAAGATAACAGGTCTCGGATTTTTCACTCATCCATTTGGATAAATAGAGTTTTGGCATTATGGCTGATTTCAGTTCGTGATGAAAATCCGAAATCTAATTCCTAAGCTTAATCATCAACTGTAAATTGTAATTCTAATTCATTATACAGGTCCATAAACCCTCCTGATTGTTAAGCGAACACTCTCAAGGTCAGTCTAACATCCCTCAAAGGTCGTCTATGAATTATAGTCTCATTGTTTAAGCTGTTCTATATTTCAGACAAGTGTCTTACAATTGTCACACTTATGAAAGTTTTTCTTACTATTTGTATTACTTCAAGGTTTACTCAGTTATCAGCAAAGTACTTTAAAAAAATTTGCTTAGCAAATTGGAAAATTTGTTTGTTTAATCATCAGTGTATATGTTACAGAGTACGCAATGATGACAACATGATCACACGATAGCTCTTTAAAAAAAACAGGAAATCACCAATAAAATCTATTGCTGGTATTAACTATACACTCTCGATTAGTAAATAATATCAGTATAGCTAAATGAGATTTCTTTTGACCAGATGAGACTTGATATTCAACTATTTTTTTTGCTTGATTAAGTAACTTGAATAATGTCGTAACAACTTTCAGTAATAAAAGATTAATATGAAGCTTACAACTTTCAATCAATTTTTTATTAAAATTAAATCGTGGCGATTAGTATTTTGACTGTTCTAGACTAAAATATCCCCATATTTTGAGTGAGGTAGTTTCCCTTTTGATACATTCTGCAAAAATGCATTACAATGTCATTATTTCCTGATGGTTTATCTAAACACCTGGTAGGGTTTTGTGAACAAGTTGAAACTAATTATATCTTCTTTTTCCTGTCGAAAGTCAAAATAATGGTAATTTTATTCATTTACTACATTTTATATTGCTATTTTATTGTTTCAGTTCAATTACTTCCTGTAATAAACTTTAAAAAAAACATTGAATAAGAGTAAGGCATTTGATTACGAACTTAGCGAAAATATATTCCGATTTATATCTTTTTATATTATTTCAATGTAAAATTACCTAATATAATTTAACAACCAAAAATGCAGTCATAAGAATATATAATTTCTGAAAAATAATAATCCTGGTTATCTTTATCATTATCATTATTACGAATACATTAATTTAACATTATACTACTTATTTCATCGACAAAATTTCAATAAAGACGTGATCATTTCAAATAAACTAAGCATTGGGTAGAAAGCTATAAACAACGTTAAACAATAACACCGTTGGATGACGGCTCATTGGTTTAGATGTTAAGCGTTCGCGCGCAATACCGATAGGTCCAGAGTTTTAGTCCTATGAGTGGGATCGTGGATGTACACTGAAGAAACGGCCGGCCAGTGCTCCCAACTTTTCGAAGGTGGTCCAGCTTTAGTTGACTCATCAATTTAGCTATTAAAAATAATATATTTGTGATACCTCATTCTGCAGAAGCATTAAATTTTCTGACGTTTCGCTACTCAGTGTAAGCCACTTCTTCAAAGAATAAATAGCCAAATTATATTAACCGAAGTTTGAATTATACAAAGGAACGAAGCAAAAATATTAAGTGCGATCAGTTCTACGAGATTATTAGGTGGTTTCTTTGTGAACCTAAGATGTCCTTTGGATTGAGTCAAGATATTGCTAGATGACTCTTCAATATAGGATGTGTCGATTGTGATAGACTCCAAATGAAATCGTCAATACCAGTTCATGCCATTTTCAACAAACACCAAATCGATATTAAAAACATCAAAATAATACAAAAAGGCTTTTCCAACTACAAAGAAAGGCGAGTAACTGAAGTTTTCCATATAATGCTTAATCCTACTGTCCTTGATAGAAAAAAGGCCTCACTATCCATCTGACTTAGACTACGTATCCAAGCTACCATGTCTGATTCTATTCACATTTTACACTATCATCGTAAAGACAAATTAAACTCTATCCTTTCTCACTACAAATGTCCCAATTTTTCATCCTTTAACATACATACGCACACACGCACAAATTTCCAAACATATCTCATATAAATCATCTTGACCGGAATGACATGGCATTGATTTAGTCGGACCTATTTTTGATTGATCGCATTTAATATTCTTGCTTCGTTCCTTTGTATTATTCAAACATGGGTTAATATAATTTGGTTATTTATTCTTTGAAGAAGTGACTTAAAGTGAAACACGAAACGTCAGAAAATTTAATTCTTCTATTCAATGGGATATCACAATTATATTATTTTGATCTATTTAATTAGAACTGTTTATTTTGTATGAAAGGAATATTTTACGTTACAATTTAGTGCAACCGTAAAAGAATGTAGGGATAAATAAGATGTCAAACACCAATATTTTAGCTTTATGTTTTATATTTTATCTTAAATACATCGCTTCAGTAGTGAGGCACAATCGTAGAAACGGTTCTTTATTATCATTTTCTTTAAAACATATTTTTCTATCGTATTACTTCAGAACTGCAAAGCAGATATTTAGTAAACTTAGAGTATGCAATCATTTCATTTTTAAACTGTACTCAGCAATATACGCATATTAATATTTGAAAGTGTAGATTTTGAATGGTTTCCAGATCATGTGTTATTCTCAACATCATCATCACTCTTCTGATACTAGTTATATAAACGTTCATTCTAGAGTAATTTGAAAAATAGAGGTGTTTGTCAGTTGATGGATTGTTTGAAAATGAAGTTGAAATTATTACATAAATCAATTACTTAGGAAAATAAACCTTATTTCTGTTTTTAGAGATGATCATTTTAAATTATTTGCGGTACAAGTACACTTTTGTGGAACATTAAAATTAATTCATTCTAACGTTATATTTAAATATAATATAAGTGTAATTTGTACTATATTACTCTATCATGTAATTCACAAATGGTTAGACTTTATAAAAATAGTTAGGGAAAATGAAATTCCCCAGTTAGTTAGAATTGATCGATCACTGGGTGGTGATCATTGTCATGGATGTCAGGTCGTTCTTAGTGTAGATCGAATCCTATAGATCAAGTTGCATTGTGGCCATCAGTCTAGTTGACTCGACATTGTGTGCATTATGTTGAGATAAGATGACGGTTATTGGCAGTAAATAGGAAACTCTGGATAGCTTAGTGGCAACGTCTCTGTGAAGCTGGGTAACACGAGATCGAACCCGTCAGGGAGCATCAGTTCCCTCAACGTTACAGGTACACCGTGCTAACGAGTACCAAGTAGCACGCAACCTAGATCCAGGGTTTCTTGTTGACTACCTCCAACCACCGTCTTATCCCCATTTAGTTTACTACAAAACTTTTACTTGATTTTTATATAGGAAATAATTGATCACAACATTTTTCACAAGTTGTTCAGAGTTGGTTCATAACTGTCAAAAGAAGCATTAAACCCTTTTTGGCTTAAATCTCATCATCATACATTTATTTACACTTAAAAGTACTATTAATAAAATTTGAATTATTCTGTTATTGGTATTAAGTATTAAATTTGATTAGCCTTTGTTGGGATATATTCACTCATTTCCATTATTTATTTATCATTATTTGGTAAGAACGTGATTACGTGTATTCAGTTGGATGATTTTTATTTATCTTCGCCCGTTGAATTCCATTAACTAAGTTCATACACAGATTCAGTCGGAATGTTTTAGCTAGTTCCTAATATCTGTTCGTCTAAGGTTTTTCAAGCTCGATGTCTTCATTATTTCGTTATTTGTCAAATTAATGAAGCTATTATAACACTGGGGACGGTTACGTATAAATATTATATCAATAAGCAGTGCGGTGATTAAGAATGCTTACAGAAATCCCCGAAGTAAATTTACTAGACGAGTGATTTTCTGAAACTGTTCAGATAATTAAAACAAAACAGTTGTTTGGATACACAGGTTAGCGAGGCACTGAATAAACCTTTGTATGATAAATAAACTCAATATCTTATACACTTAATAGTACTCTATACTCTTGTTAAGCAAAAACTTGAAGTTAATACAGAAATTTATGATTAGTGATTAAATAAATTAGTTCATGGCTGTGGTTTCCATATCCACTCAGAAGTCATATTCGTTTAGTTATCTTGGAGTTGAATAATTGAGCTATCAATTCTGTCGACTAAGTCACTTTAGAACTTTGTCAAATCAGACGATAACTTAGTACACCATTCGCTTTTCGTTTTGAATGCACAATCAGTCATGAAACATTAATAAATTTCACTTCTCCTCTGAGTTTGTTGTGCAGATAAAGTGATTTACATATCATTTCACATAGTGTATTATTTTCATTGTGATATGATTTTAAGTGTGTAAAAATTGTTCTACTCTTACTAGGACAAAAAGACTCATGATCTCGATTTCAATCTCTAACTATAATAATCTATGTCTTACTGTTTTTTCTTAAGTATCAACAACTAGACTTACCCAGTAAAGATTTCTTACATGTGTTCGATTTGGTGAACAAATAAAAATCAAATTATCTCCCTCATTGACATACAATTCATCAGGATTTTCTTGAAATCTATATGAAATAAAACAATAGTATTTAAAGAAAGAATAAAATAAAGTAGTATCTGAAGTGTTCCTCAAAGTGTTAAAGTAGAGAAAATATTTTAATTAAGAAACCAGTATTCATTTATATTGGAACGTCCGTTTTTTATTTTGCAACAAATACTCAATAGGAAAATTTAATTATTTTCTTTTAGCTACTGCTTGGTTGTGAAAAGATATTTATACGTTGGAAGATAATATCAATGTCCCATTGTTTTGTGTTAAGTTTGTTTTTGTTGATACCATTCAAGCGCATTAGTTTTAAAAGTGGTAAGTTTATGAAAATGTGAATAACTTAATGTTGATAAACTTAGTGTAGTAGATCTTATGCATTTCAGTTAGATATTTATTCAAATAAAAAGCATATTTGATAAACTGAAAATCTCAAAAGTTTGTGAACATTTATCTCACTCAGAAGGGGGTTTCGTGGGGATTTTAGTAATTTAATAGTTTAATTCATGAGTCAATCGAAGCTAGAGCACCATAGAAAACCTGGAAGCACTGAACAGCCGTTTCTTCCTAATATTATTTATTATTATTATTATTATTAAAAGCTTTATTCAACATTATATTTTTTGGTACAATATAGAATTCTCAGCATAAAGTATTTCAACAAGTTTCCTTTTCTTATATCTTGATTGATTGTGACGATAAATTTTGAATGATGACCAGCTAGATGTTAGGAGTTCGGTAATCCACATTTGATTAATGTTCATTCGTTTCAATGCATATTGCTAGCCACCATGATGTCGCTGATTGTGCCTTTTTGTAACCCGTACAGCGAAAGGTTGTAAAATTTTCATAAACGCTCCTGAATAGATTGTGAGCACAACAGACGTAATGATGTGCTAATACAAACAAGAAAACAGATAACTTGATGAAATATCTAGATCGGAGGAACAAGTAGCCCAGATATTCACACAGGCCGTCACCGATGTCGGACTCCCCAGCGAAACGCATCCACGATTCCGCTCGCGGGACTCGAATTCAGGACCTGTTGGTCTCGTGCGCAAGTGCTTAACCTTTAGATCAATAGGTCCTGGGTTCAAGTCTCGCGAGCGGGATCGTGTGTGCGCCTCGCTGAGGAGCTCGATATTAGGACGAAACTGCCGTCCAGTACTCCCAGGTTTTCCACGGCGGACTAGCTTTAATTGTCTCATAAATTCGGCTATCAAACAATTTATGTATTAGAAACCGATAAAGTATGGAAAACAAATTGCACTTATTTTAATTACGATTTCATAAACTTTATTTCGACATTATTAGGGAAATCATTTGAACAAGATGATTATAAACAAAATAAATTTCCTACTATATATTAATTAGCATTGCTTGTTTTAGTAGTAACCTGATTTAAACTTTTATAGAATTTGTTGACAGCATGTTTAATTTCATACATAATTCTACTGAAAGTATAATTTTAAACATTTAGAATTTGAAATGGTGAATAGTGTTAATAAAGCAAACTGGTGCAACATTTTGAAATAGTTACCAAATGTTTTAACATACTATGTTATTTGGAAAATTAGTAGCAATGCTCTATAAAATAAAAGATCAAGTTAAATTAATTCTAAAGTATCTTTACATCTAAACGTCTCACTTGAAGTACTTCTACTGATTGACTTGATTTTTTTATTGTCATTTAATAAGAAAGGTGAATTGTTTACACTGGTTTACTAGGGATATATGTTAATGTTTACTATATTCTAGGAGCTTCAGTGCTGAAATGAGACTAGCTATTATGAAGCATATTAGGAAATAAGTATTACACCAAAGAAATATATGGCTTTAGTAACCAGAGATCTTTGGTGTTATTAGCTTTGCATACGTTTAGACAGTCTGTTTTGGATGCATTTTTTCTGTGAACTACCTGTACACAAGCCTGAATGACCGGAGTAGATGAAGAGGTTATTGCATAAAAATGTTTTGATGTATCTTATAAGATAATTATTGGGGTTTATGATGAGTAGTTTATAGGTGAGAATATAAATAGAGCATTGCTATTAAATTATTAAGCTTTTTTATATTAGTTACGTAGGATCTGGATGGAACAGTCAAGATGAATTAAACTTTCCTTTATTCCCACTTTAGGGAAACCTTAAAAGTGATCATAGCTGTGACTTTAAATAAATAAAGTTTAACAGTGTGGCTTATTCAACTTTCATAATTAGATAGAAGTGTTGGGAGGATACTATGAACGTGAGTTTCATATTGATTGACAAACAACAGGAAATAGGATACAGTCTTGAAAGAAACGATACCTTGTTTAAGACTGAAACCGACTTAATCTCGTGTCATATTAAAACAGGTTACCTCTTAGTCAGCAGTAAATAAATGTAGTGATATAAAGTAAATTACATCGCGAAAACGATTCATGAGACAAGACAAAATGATTTTGATATAACCATATTGTTTGATCATGTTATTTGAAATACTTTTTCTGAATGGCCAAATGTATAATCATGAGATTAGTCTACGGCTTTTATATAATAATGGGATTATTGACTAATCTATGCGTTTAACATGCACAATTCCAACATTTACATTTGACTATATAAATGTTCAAAATTCAGTTGCTTATGAAAAATTAGAAACTGTCACATTCATTGTTTTTGAATATTGATTGTTTATAGATAGGCTTTATAAGAGCTGCTTATTCTTTGTTCTGATTAACAACTTAATTTTCGGTATATTCAGTATTCGTTGAAAAACTTCATACCAGACCGATATATATTATAACTTTTCTCAGTTCAAAATGTTTTCAAAAATACTATTCACACTTTGTATTGCGATGAGTATTAGTTCTTTCTTATCACAAGCATAAATATGAAACATACATTTGTTGTTACTATTCAGTGGTTGATATGTAACTAGCTAATAGTTGTGAAATAATGTTTAACTCATGAATGCTTGTACTTGAATATTGTCAATATTTAGTAACATAAGGGTTTCATACTACATTACAGATTGGTGTATATACAACATTAATAAATGCAAATCAAATTGATCCATTTAAATTTATAAAATATTTTTTTTATTATTTTACGACGTACAATGCTTTTCTGTTTTACAGAAAGAACACTGATAAACTGCGTCAATTAATATTAACAAAATAAAGGTTAATCAATATTTTGAAGCTAAAAGTTTAATTTCCCAAAGGGCCCAGGGGTGGGGACATTTTTATACAATAAAGAACTACTTCATTAATATCTCAACTTATTGTTTTAAATAACTATATAAACAATCAAGTAACACAACGTTTGTTATTTTCCTCAATTCGTAATAAATATTCAAATAAAATTTAATTTTTAAGTGAATAAATATTAAATCATTTTGGCAGTCTTGTTGCTTGCATAGATATATAATAAGTATTAATTAAATCAATCAAAATTATGGTATATACTTCGGGGAGGAGGGGGGATGGAAAGCTAAAAATGTATAAGCTTTGATAATATTTATTTGTAAGTTAGTACTTAACTATAGTTTTAAAATTGGTATATCTATAGGAATTAAATATAGTAAGATTGAATGACTCTATTTTTAGATTATGATAAGAATTGTCGTCTTATTTGAAATAGTCATTTCCAGTTGTTGTTTTCTTTTAAGGATAACTTCAAATAACTATGTTTATATAAATCACTATGTATGATATTTAATTAAATATGATTTTTATACTTTCATTAACAGTAGTGAACCAGAGAAAATTAATATCTTAATCGATAGAAGTATTTCTGTATAGAACAGAACTTATGACTGTCCATAATTGTTCAGAATTGTTGTAGGGGAAATAATCAACTGCTTCTTATTTTATAAAATGTTTTATTTAGTTAAAAGAAATCGAATTGTATATGCGAAATTCTTGTTTCAGTTTTCATTCCTACTTTAGGTTTGTACACATATAGTTTTCTTGGTGAGACTATGATTTATAGGCAACCTTTGAGCGATGCCAAAGTGACCTTGAGAGTGTCAATCTACTTCATAGGACTAAACGAAGGTTATAAAGAATTTCGATGAATAAAGACAATGATTTACAGTTGATTGTAAGGGTTAGAATTTAGATTTATGGTTTTTATTACGAACTGATATCAGCTAAAGTGCTAAGACGCTATTTGGACGAATAGGTGAGTGTATTCCGGGCCGAAATCCAAAACCTGTTATTCTGAATCTGATCGGTTCGTCCGTAAATTATAGTCTCGCCGTTTCCTTCATTCATATATTAAGTAGATAAGTAGATAACATATAACTGTTCATTTTTTTGAAAGACTTCAGTATTATTAGTACTTATTAACTTAAACGTCGTAGGTTTCAACATGAAAACTATTTATTGTAAAATCAAATAAATAAATCTTGTTCGTATTTAAGGCTTGTGTAATTTGTACTGCATAAAAACTATGCAACCATCTACATTGAGCGTGTGGTTACTTGATAATTTCTGAATGCACAAAGAAAACATTGATATTACACGATAATGTATCAGATTTAAAATATCTGGAATTGAATTTTACCTGTTAATCATTAAAATAAAGCTTTCATTAAAGTTCAAGTTTTTGGAATTGATGCACAACACAGAACAATGAATTCTAAATTTTTAAGTTGTTACCACTAGGGTACCTGTTTTATGCTAATGATGTCTATTTTTATTCACACTGAATTAAGAGATGAAATTGTACCTAATTTAGAAAATGTTTCGCTTAGTTTTGTTTATAACCTACACACTGAAGCGAGTTGTTAGACTTAATCCCACGAACCATGTGTATTATACTTCAAGGAATCGAAGTACCAACAATTAAGTTGAAACAGCTAATAGGTTTTAAATCGCAGATGTAGATGATATTCTAAGCATCGTTTAAGGGATGGGTTTAATATCACTTGATTAAGGCAAGAAAAAATTATCCAACAACTTAACTTGTAACTTGGGTGGTAATACCAGAATATTATTCATTGTAAATAAACTCTAAACGTTACAATATGGTGAAATATGTTAGACGAGAGTGCATAAACATGCAATAATTAATGTATGTTAATTAATCAATTTTTTTCATTTGTCTAGCAATTTCATTATTTCAATTAGAAGCTAACATATTCAGTTTAACACTGATTTGACAATATTCAGTTAAAAGTGAGATGTGTCATTTTCAGCTCAGAAAACAGTCAGAAATAGTATTGAATTGTAAGGATTTGTATTCTAAGGACTGAAAATAATCAGTCCTTGTTGGTAAACATGCAACTTGAGCAGGTTGCCTCGATATCGACGATTAGTCAAAATTCTTTATCAAAGTTCGAGGCAGTTTACTCAGGATGCATAAATGTTGATCGGGATTAATTGATTGCCATATTTTCCTTCAATAACGAGAAAAATAGGAACGCTAACAAGTAAAATTAACAGTCGCTGCAAAATTTAGCAACTAATTAAACTCGGAATCACAGTGGCTAATGCACTGAAGCTTAAAACCAAAGGTAAAAATTTCGAGTATCTGTGTAAATATCAATACTAGAATGCGGACACAACCAACTGAAATGTATCACTCAGGAAAATGCTTGAGTTCTAGATTTAATTCCAACATTAACACAAACGGCGTTTGTATTCAACATATAATCGTTGAGTATGCACTGTGATGGTAAAGTGAACTAAGATATTGATATGACTATAATATTGTTGGTATATTACAAGTAATATATGTATATGACATTTGATTGTAATATATGAACAACTGTCTCATATCATATGGTATTATTGTTTTATTTAAAATCAATAAATATAATTGTACTTGTTTTTCAAGTTCTATGGTTGAACAAGTTTTTAGTGTTACATATGTAGATGTATACTGTAAAATTAAAAAAAATACCAATGATAATATCGTCTAAGCAGTTATATATAGCTAAATATTGTTTCACCTAATTAATTTGTTTTAAAATGATCAATTTTTGATTTGTATACTACTAAATCATAAGTATTTTTATTATTGTCCTATGGTGTATAACATTTCCGATTGATTCTCATCAAAATTTGAATGGGTTTTTTGTTTAATAAAATCTATATTAAATGGTAACCTAGATTTGTTGATTGGCTTGAATAAAAATCTTGGGATAATATAATCTATTCATCATCTAAAATCGATGTTCTTCCAAAAAAAATCTTTTGGTAAATAACTTTCAGTTTGTATTGATTTTTTTATATAAAATAGGGTGTCATTTACAGAATAGATATACAAATCTTCCGGTCAGTGACTTTCTTTTTTTACTGAAAAATACTATTTTTGTATATACACTTCATTAAAAAGATTTATTTTAAGCCTATGACTGTTATTCACTTGTCCTCAACTAATCATTACTAATTACATAATGATAAATATTTTGGCTATTCAGAAAGATGTAAAAAAACTTTATATTGCAGGGAAGTTCTACTTACTGCCTAGTCGTGGCGGGGGTGTTGATTACGAAATTGGGAGGACGATAAGTGAATGTTCAGGTTGATGGATATGGAGAATCTACCTAGTGGAGTTGGAAAACTTTGATTCAAAACCAATGGCGCACATGGACTCCAGGATTCTGAGGTAAAAAATGGCGTATGAACCAATTATTGGTTCCTGGCTATCATGGGACTGTATCTCCTAACGTTGCTTCACTGTCTTGTGGATCAGACCTTTAGGTCAAAATCTCCAAGTATGGCCCCTTAAGAAAACCACCTGCTTCGGTCTGAGTATCCGTGCAGTATCAGCTCACACACAAATCAAGTAACTTGTGTGGTGCATATGTATTCACTGCTCCTTTGTACCAATAATAATAATAATTATTTTTTATTGAAACTTAGTCACTGACATTTCTAAATGTGAAATTAATGAACACTGAAAAAGTATTAAAAATAGACAAACAAAAATGTTCGTATTAAAACTTACATTGAATTACTAGCATCCCAATAGATTATATGATCTTGATGCTCTGCAAAAGTCAATTTTATTAATATCATAATCAATTTTATTAAACATGTCTTGCACATTTAAAATTTATTAATAATTTCAAATGCATTTATATATGACAGAATGAATGAAAATTATTTTAATTTCATGATTTCTGTGGTAAGTTATATTCAAACTAAAACTATGTTTAATATACTACTCATATATTTAAAAAATAACAATACACAATTGATGTGTGATTAGTAAAGTTCTAGGTTATATTTGATTGGCTAAAACGTTAGAGGTTAGTAATAATTAACTAAAATATGATTGGTTGATAAGCTGAATGGACCTATTTTATTAATGTTATCCAATAATATTTCGTGTTCACATTTTTTTTATATAAAAGGCTTAACCCATAATTGATAATATAAAATATTAAATAAATTCAATTTAATTTATAAGATTAATGGATTGTTACAATGTTATAGGTTTCTACATCAATGTTACGTTCTTGAAAGATTTTCGAATTAAATTTTTATGTATAAACTTGTAATAAAGTTAGATGTGTTGCATCACAACTTATTCATCTGTACCATATTATTATCATTAGTTATTGAACATGAATAATCTAAACAGAAACTGAAGTATTCTGGTAATCTATGGCACAAGTATTTCTATATTTTTGAAATGAATCAATGTACATGAAAAAAACGATAGGCAATTAATCAACTGCGTCTTTAGTTAATGATGAAATTGCTGTTTGATAGACAATAAAAATGTTTATTTAGAAGACGTTATTTTTTTAAAGAAGTAATTTGAAATGTCCGGTACTTTCATTCTGATTATATATAGGACACCTTTCAAGTTGAACAACCTCTTCACTGACTAATTAAAACAATGAATATACATAGTTGTTTATTCAGTGTTTAGCTGATTACTGAAGGTAGAATGTTGTACTTTTTCAAACCGTTGTACGATTGAGTGAATATGATTTATGCAGGCGAATCACCTGAAGTAGTGTAAATAATGTAAGCAAGTGACAATAGTTCATATAAAATAGATCTTCCCGAATTTCTTATCTAAAGAATATCGGAAAGCAAGACAAATTAGTTGATGAGAGACTATATTGTTTGCTATAATGAGATCAAACATATATAGAATAAAATTATTGATTAAAATGTGTTATGTTTAAATGATGATTGAATTATTGTGAATAAGCCGTATGTTAACCGATTGAATTAGATTTTGACTACTTGATTCAAGTCTTTGATATTATATCGAAACAATTTATGAGGTAAACTAATCTAAAGTAACCATGGTTCTACATTTTTTGCCACCAAATTACAACATGTAATATAAATGAATATGTAGATAAACACCATCAAAGTATAATATATCAAATTTTATCTGATATTTAAGTTAAATTGTCATTATCCAGCCCAAAGTGTAGATGAAGTCAAAATCGTACTTTCACAAGCTTTTCAGTAACAAATGATAATTCAGGTACCTTTGTAGTTTTTTTATGGTTAAGAGATATTTATTACATGTTTTTCCATATTCCCAAAAAAGTATATTCTCAAGTAATTGTTATATAAGTTATATTGTTTATATAGTGAAAGTAAATCCATAAACAAATAAGATTAATACATTCGTCCAATAGTTACTGATATGATGGAAAGAAAAGTCGATTTTCGATTGATTTACTCATTATGGGTTTTGTTCAAGATTACTTCCGTTTTTAGAATATTAAAGATTCCCATTGTGAAAATTAGAACAACACATATAAGCGAACAATTGTTTTCAATTAGATCGTCATCAGGCTTTACTTCCGTTTTGATTCAATGTAATGATTACTCAATGTAGTATTTGTTTTATTGTCTCGTATGATATTTTATTCTGTATAATATGCGATATTCTTCTATCCCATTGACATGAACTATGCTCAGTATGGGATTTGTTATAACTGTAAGTATTTTTCATATATATGATTTCATCCTAATTGTTAATCAAAATGGGTGTGCAATCAATATATAAATGAGTGTATTTTCTACTAGAGTTGTTGTCGTCGTCATAGTGTTTTGGGTTAATAAATCACCACTTATACCAGTCTTTGTGTTCTTACTTTCGCGTCGTGGGAATTGCAGAGGTCCCTCGTCCCGAGTATAAGTGATAAGCGTTTCCGACATAACAATCAGCGACGACCAGTTACAAAATGTAGCATTAAAAGAGCTAAGACAATTAGCATTTAAACGACAATTTATAACAGTTACATAGGATTTCAGTCATGAACTTCCAAGTAATGAAAACATGAGTAAGTTTTTATTTGTATCAGTAAATTTATCTGAAGAGATTAATGATTTCCATGTTCCACAGATTTTTATATTTATATATTAAGTTCTAGGAAAGAACACTTAGAATCAGGATGCTAAAATCATCAAGAATTATTTGTACAAAGTTCTAATCTTGCGGACAAGATCGTGGATGCACACTGCTAAGAAGTCTCATACTAAAACAAAAAAACACTCTAGTGCTTCCAGGTTTTCCATGGTAGTCTATGTCTAATAAAATCATGAATTCAAATGATAAAAAATACAAATTGCCCATAATTTATGCACTTGCCATTTAGTTTCTTATTTTACACTTCATACAGCTTTAGGGCTTTTTAAAAGTAGACATTTTTGACTGAATTTTAACTATGTTATAAAGTAATTAATTAACTTCAATTTATATCAGTAAACAGGTTTTTGTTTTACTCATACTTAATTATGGTCTACAATTAGTGTTCCAATTTCAAGTAGGGAAATTTCAATTATTTATTTTTGTTTAATTACATGAGAATTTAAAGGAATAGTTTTGTTCATTTGAAAGAATAAGAAATTAGCACGTTTCGTTTTTTCTTAAAATTATATAAGATCGTTAATTGAATGTTTGGTTTTCCACTTTTTTCATTATTCAATTCATCAGGTTTTCGTTTAGTAATTTAATAAATAAAGAAACATTTTAACTGAAGTATGTTTGTTAAAAGGCAGAGTTTAGTTTTATACGACAAGAAAAACAAATTTGCTTTTTAAAGTTTCCCAGGTGAGACTATAATATATGGACAAGCTTTGAGTGAAGCTCAACTGCCCTTGAGAGTGTCCACCTAATAACTAGAACCAAATGACGGTTATAAACCAGTGTGAGGAATTGAAATTATGATTTACAGTTGATTGTTTGGTTGGGATTTATAGTTTTCATCACGACATCAGCTATAATTCCAAAACTCTATTTATCCGGATGAATGAGTGAATTTCACTCCAAAATCCAAGACCTGTTATCTTATACGTGTTTGGTTCGTCCGTAAATTATCGTCTCGCCGTTACCCAAAACTCAATCATTAGACTTCCGTTTAATATTTGAAAAACTGTTTCAAATGAAAAAATAGTTAATTCATTTTGTATTGTTTGTTTGAGTCTTCCTATTGATGTTTAGAACTGTAACTGGTCAGTCACTTAATGACATATGTGCAACTTGTGCGGTTTGCCTTAATATTGCTTTAAGTCATATCCAGATGATGAGTCCTGAATGAAACGAAACGCGTGTCCTAGATTCTATTTCTAACCAGCATCCATCTTCGCTTATAAAAAGTGGTTAATGTGTAGTTTTTCAAACAGATTAATCTAAAATAATTCTATGTGAGAATTTTTTACTTATGTTAATCAAGCCAAAGTTTAGAAATTTTTGAAAACCGTTAATGTGATTTTGTTTTTAAATACTAAATTACTTCTAAAATTGTGTAATTATGTAATTGATTAAAGTTATAATTGTAACACTATCGGATACTAGCTCAGTTGTCTGGACGTTAAGTATTCGCTCTTGAGAATTTATTGAAATCTTTCGTACTTTATATTGAATGTTTCATCAGTATGTTCGAAAAGTTACAAAACAAACCAGTCGTCATTATTGTTCAGAATGAAACAGATCATACTACTTATAATTATTTTTCAATTTTTATACCATTAAACTATATACATAACTGTGTGCTTATATTTGTCTTAAAAATCTAATTAGCACTTCTTCTTTATTTTTGTGAATGTAACGAAACAATAGATGAAGAATACTAAACTCTTTAGAACAAACTCATTCAATTTTATTTGATAAACAAAAAATACCCGCTTCGGATCATAAATGATTTTTAAAAATAATGGAATCACATTGTTTATTTTTACAAATGACATCAATTGACATGATTATGACAGTTGAATCGATTTAATAAAATAAAAGCAATCATTACGTTATTGATCTGAAATACTCATCGAATAGAACCACCCTTTTGGCATCCAAATTTGAAATGAATAGATTTTTGAAGATAACGTCAGTCATTGACCGAACTAGAATTTTAATTCTTAAATAATTTATTCATTCAAAGTATCCTTGTAAAATAACTTATCTAATGAGAGAGGAATAATAAAGGATAGGAAAATTGTAAGGTGGAGACTAATCATTGTTTATTTCCATTTGTGATAAAATAATCTTGTTGAATAAAGGACTCCACTTTGAACAGATAATTCGCACTCTGGAATTACACTCCATCTGATATAACACAAATAGCTAGCTATACAACAAGTGTAACTCAGAAACAATGTACAAAAGTCTGTACTTAATAAATAAGTCACAATTTGACAATATACATCAAAAATTAAATTAAGTTCACATAACAGACTAACTTTTTAAGTTGTGGATACTATCATTAAGATTATTTAGTCGTTTTTTTCCCAATTGAAAGTGAAGCTGAAGCACTCAAAACCATTATTGATAAATACAGTAGTAGGAAATTGTATGTTCTATCAGCATTTGTTAAGATGTGGATTTTTTTGTCACGATTTCGAGATAATTCATCCATAACCACGATCTAACTTACTGTTCTTTAGTGGGGCCTATGTGACAAGGTGATCTAATTTAAGACACTGAAAATTGAATGCACACCTGAGAATAACCCATATAGTAATGTAATATGTCATATATAGTCAAATTTTATAGCGTTAACATTTTATCTTAGTTCGTGGTACTTTAGTATTTTGAACTCTGTCAGAAGTTGAAGTTATGGATTTCAAGCCTTGAATCAGAATCATTAAATGATATATATAAGCTATCTTTCTTATCCAAATTATCGAATTTTTCTATGAAAGATGGTAAAATTATCGTGTAGGTGGAAACAGGATATGTATTCTGGATGACTTTAATTTACTTTAAAACATGTCACCAGTATAAAACATAATACTAAAGG